TAAAAAAAAAAAAAAAAAGGAGGGAAATCCCTTCTGGAACTAAGTACCTAAGAAGGAAGGAGTAGACTGCAGCCTAGGTAACGAAAAGGGAAGCAGACAAGCAAAAGATGAAGCTGGCCTAGTGCACAGCTTTCCTTAGGTTTTTACCTCAGTTCTGACTGCTATAGATTTAAGCCGGACAAAAGTGTGCTCTAAACACATGTGCTGTAAGTTGGTGTTTGTGTTATGAACCTCAAAAGTGAGCCTGCTTCTAAGTTAATTCATTTTGCCAGCACCAGAGATGCCAAAGGTGAAGTTTTCAGCTTTGCAGAAGAGTCAGGCAGGTAAACTAAATGTTAGAATACTGAGAGATCCATGTCCACAATGAGACACCACTTCACACCCACATAATTACAATCTAGAAGACAGACAATAATAAGTGCTGACAAGGATATGGAGAAATTTGAAACTTTTACATTGCTGGTAATGTAAATTGCTGGAATGTAAAATGATGCACCTCTTTGGAAAACATTTTGACGGTTCCTCAAAAAGTTAAACATAAGAGTTACCATGTCACCCAGCAATTCTCCTCCTAGGTATACACTCAAAAGAACTGAAAACACCGTAAAGCACAGGGAACTCTATTCAGTACTCTATAAAGACCCATATGGGAAAAGAATCTAAAAAGAAAAAAGGAGTGGATATATGTATATGAATAACTGATTCACTTTGCTGTACACAACATTGTAAATCAACTATACTCCAATAAAAATTTTAAAAAAAAGAATTGAAAACACATGTTCACACAAGAACTTGTTTACAAATGTTTCATAGCAGCATTATTTGTAATAGCCAAAACGTAGAAACAACCAAAATTTCCATTAACTGAAGATTAAACAAATGTTGTATATTCATTCAATTAGAATATTATTGAGCAATAAACAGAAATGAAGTATTGACACATGCTACAACATGGAAGAACCTTGAAAACATTATGCTAAGTGAAATAAGCCAGACACAAGAGAGCATATATTACATTATTCCACGTATATGAAATATCCTATGTGAAATAGGCAAATCCATAGAGAAGTTAAATTAGTGGTTACCAGGCACTGGGGAAGGAAGGGAATGAGGAGTGACTGGTAATGGGTACAGGGCTTCTTTCTGGGGTGATGAAATTATTCTGGAATTAGGTAGTGGTAATGGGTGCACAGCTCTGTGAATATACTAAAAACTACTGAACTATACACTTTAAGAGTGAGTTGTGTGGTATGTTATCTATATCTCAATTTTTAAAAGTGACCAAGAAAAACGGAATAAATTTGACTGCATGAAAAAATGTTTTGTGCTTGTCTGTAGAAAAAGCTAACTTCTATTTTCTTCTACTCACCCAGTACTTCTGACATTAGATTTATGGATCTTCCACACATTAAGCAATTTTATGTGGGTGGGTGTCCTACAATTCAATCCAGTTCTGACACTGTCTACCTGATGTTTGCATCACATCTCATAGGTTAAGGCTCAGTCCCACAAGACTGCCTACCTCCCACTTCAGATGCTGATCACAAGTCCAGGCTGTTACCTATGCTCTGACCAAACAGCTATAAATCAGAGGTTCCCAAGTCCCCCTCCTCAGGTTTGATTAATTTGCTAGAGCAGCTCACAGAACTCAGGAATACAGTTTATTTACTAGATTACTATAGTAGGATATAACTATAAAAGGATATAACTTAGGATGAGCAATATAGAAGAGGTGCATAGGGTAAAGTCCAAAAGTGTTCTGAGCACAGAAGCTTCTATCCCCACGGAGTTGGGTTGCTCCATCCTCCTGGTATATGTATGCATTCACCAACCTGGAAGTTCTCCAAACCTTGTATTTTAGGAATTTTTATGGAGGCTTCATCATTTGGGCATGATCAATTATTAACTCAATTTCCAGCCCCCTCCACTTCCTGGAGGATGGAGGTAGAACTGAAAGTTCTAATCTTCTAATCATGGCTAGGTCTTTTGGGTGACCAGCTCCCATACTGAAGTTATCCAGGAGCCCACCAAGAGTCTCTTCATTAGAACAAAAGAGACTCCTGTCACCCAGAAAATTCCAAAGGATTTAGGAGTTCTGTCAGGAGTCAGGAATAAGACCAAATATTAGAACAAAATATGCCACTAGTGCTCTTATCACTTAGAAAAATACAAGGGTTTTAGGAGCTCTGTTCCAGGGACTGGGGGCAAAGGCCATATATATTTCTCTTATTTCACAGTGGTATTAATATGCTGTATAGAGGTAATCAGAGGCCACATGTCCCCCCAAAAGAGGGACACCCACTTATTTGATGGGATGGGGACATATCAGGGAAAACATCCCAAAAAAAGGACTTTAGGGATGAGAAGGATATTGAAAGGCCAATCACTGGGGACAGAGCCCTTTTGAGAAACAGCAAGTAATTGGCCATGTGAGGGATTGGCAGGCAAAGAAACTAGAGAAGAAGGCAATAATCAAGAAAAGCCCAGAGCAATTCAGATCAGTGGAGAAAAGATGGACTTGTTAATAGGTGGTGCTGGGACAACTGGAGAGCCATATTAAAAAAAAAAAGATAAAATTAAAATCATTCTTCATACCATATGTTAGTATTAATCATGGAGGGATAGGGATTTAAGTATTAAACATATGATACTAGAAGTATAAAGTACTAGAAGAAAATACAGGCCTCAGTAACCTGGAGTGGTGAAAACTTTCTTGACTAATTCCAAATCCAAGGAAAAGATGGAGAAATGTATTTACTTGAATCTAGTCAAGCCTCTAGCTGTAACTGCCAGTTTACAGGAAACACAGGGGATAAAGGAACCTGTTCAATGAGACCACAGGGTGCAGTCAGCAAAACCTAGTATGTGGGTGTTTCAGGTTTGTACTGCTGCTTTGTGAGCTGCTTTCTTTCACAAATAAATGCCCAAAGGCGGGGGCGGGGCGGTTACCTTTAGATTAAAAGAGATTCAAAACACATATCCACCAAATGCAATATGTGGACCTTGTTTGTACTCAAAATTTAAAAGCTGAAAAAAGCACAATTTTTTCAACAAATGAAGAAATTCAAACACTGTATGGATATTGGGTGATTTTAAAGAACTATTACTAATTTTACTGAGTATGATAATGGTAATGTGTTATGTTAGAAAGAAGAGGCCTTGTCCCTTAGAGGTACAGATTGAAATATTTACAGATGAAAAGGTATGATCTTTGGTATTTACTTTAAAATAATCCAAAAATGATGTGTGTGGAAAATGGAAGGTGTAAATGAAAGACAATGGTACAATTTTTAATAATTATTAAAGCTGGATAAGTACATGAGCATTCATTATTCTATTCTATATTGTCATAAAAGTACTATTCCCGTTCCTTTGGAGGAAAATCTGAAAGTTCCCAGAGCCACTGAAGGCCTTTTCAGCAGGAGAATACCAAGATGAAAGTGGCATCTGAGGGAGTATAGCCCTGGGGATAAGAAGACTAGATAAGGTGCTGTCAGGGAGGGTCACAGTGATAAAGGACTGGACGAGGATTGTCATTGGTGGGGGAGGGGAGGATCTGGGTGTGAACACTGTGTAGAACTTGATGACCTATTGATGGAGAATGCTACAGAAGTAGGAATCAAGGATGACTCAGGCTCAGAATAATGGCTGTGAGGTGAGGCCATTCAATAAGCAAGGAATTTCAGAAGAAATGAAAGTTAGGGGCGAAGGAAGTGACAGGTGCCACTTCAGACAGGTTGAGTTTGAGATGCCTGTGGAACATCCAGCGCTTGGGGAAGAGGTCTGCACTAGAGACAGGGTGTCGCCAAAGATCAGCTGCAGCATAATTTCCATGGAAACATGTAGAGCACAGGCACAAGAAAACGCTCCCTTTGTGAGCAAGCACTTCCTGTCTAATTATAAATTACTCTTGGACGGTTTTAACATTAAAAAACTAAGTGTCTTAATCAAGAATGATATAAGATATCCAAATAGTAATAATCTATGATTCCCATGCTATTCTGCTGCCTCTCAGTTTCCATTTTGAACATGTCATAGATCTTCAGGGTTTCACTGCAAGCCTTTCTTGCTTCAATTCTTTCCCCTAATAAGGTGTTTTCAAGAGAACACTAGGGCTTAAATTCATTAGGGGAAAAAAAATCTCATACGAAAGACCAACTTTTTCTTACTTTGTCTTTTTTCTATTGCCTACAGTATTATATATATATATAAAAAAAAACTGAAGGGAAACACCAAAACCATCTAGATCCAGGGGCACAATTCAATTTCCTGTCTTTTAAACAGCCATGATAGTGTTCAATCCTTGGGGTGACACATGTATTCAAAAGAAGCCACGGATCTGCTGATATCAAAAAGCATTTAGTGTTGGGAATTGATCTATGCCTTGGAGCAGGGCAAAGAGAAGACTCTTCAGCCCCTATAGTATTTGTTGCTGGGGGAGCATCAGACCATCTGCTAGACTTTAACACAATGTGGCAATAACATTTTGGTCAGAAGCACAGAATGATTTTCCAAACCAATATTAAAGTTTGTTGGCAACTGAGGCACTTGTAGGTATTTTTTTTTAAGATATTTGTATATTTAGCATTTATATTCAGATAAGAAGAGAAGCACATCAACCTCTTTCTTTTTCTGTTTGGGCTTATTCTCCTAATCTTGTGTTGACCGCCCAATTCAAACTCCTCAGCCTGCCATTTGAAGCCTCCATAATTTGGCTTCACCCAAGACAACTTAAATCAAAATTTTGAGGGTTGGACCCAGGCATCAGTTTTTTTTTTAATCTCCCCTGGTGATTTCATTGTGCAATCAGTGTTGAAACTGAGTATGGTTACAATATGAATGAGGAGAAGACAGCTGGGATATTTGGAGTATCTATGGTCAGCAGCAAACGTATGAATTAAAGTTTTTCAGAGCTTCAGATGGCAGCTATGATGTAACATGTCTGTGCGTGTGCGTGCGTGTGTGATTAGCATTTCCTCTCTCTCTGCCCTGGCTCGCAGGTGAACGCCGTGCGGGTGTACGTGAACAGCTCCTCAGAGAACCTCGACTACCCGGTCCTGGTCGTGGTTCGCCAGCAGAAAGAGGTGCTGTCCTGGCAGGTTCCTCTGCTCTTCCAAGGACTGTAAGTGGATCTTTCCCCGACAGCTTCATTACATTTGTTTTCTTTCAATGTGCTAGACCTTAATTGCCCTTTTCCCTCGCGAAAGGAGAAATCAGACATGCAGAATGTTGACATATTATGTATGCTAAGTGCAAACAGTCGTCGTGGTGCCTGCATTGACCGTTCAGCTCTGTTCAGTTTCTCTCCTCTTTGAGGTTCTGATAAGCACTCTGTCTAGATTTGTAGCACCCAGAAGAACGTTTAACATTTTAGTTCTACCCAGAATGTTCTGTTACTCTTGGTTGGTTAGTGGGTCATCCACCAAGGTCAGGGCTAGGTCCCACCAACAACTTCGATGAGTGACACCTCTCCCCATTCTTCATAATGTTCACCGAGTGTACTTTCTTTATCCCATAATATTTATTGAGCGCTCAAATGATAGATGCTGGGGATACAGTGGTGGAAGACAACAGTGAAATTCCCACCTTGTGGAATCTATATTTTTGCTGTATAAGGCGCTAGAGCAGTAACAAGAACAAACCAGAAAGCATGCAGACATGGCCACATAGTACAGTGTTAAATCACTTTTGGAGGTTAATACACGTGAGGATTGAAATACTGACTCTAATGCCCTGACTCGGACTCTGGGGCTTTCTTTATGTTCATTTCGCAAAAGCTTGAAGACTGGAAAAATGGAATCAACTGGTTGTTTTGTCAGTTTTTAACAGTTTTCCCTTCAAAATCTGATAGCTTTCCTGACTGGATTAGGAGGATGATTTGGTAATGAAGACACCTAAGTGAACTGCACTCAACACCCAACAGTCCTCATGTCTGTGTTATAACGTCACACAATGTGTGCCAGACACGGTAGCCCTAAAATTACTATCAGTAGGTCCAGGATGAAATTTTAAATATAAGGACTTGGAAAGAAGTTCAGGGAGAAGTGACACGAGATGTTCTTTGCCCTGCTTGTTCATTGAGTGTCTTTCTCCTTCTCGCTGGCTTTTCTCTCCGCTGGCTGCTGCAGATACCAGAGGAGCTACAACTACCAGGAAGTGAGCCGCACCTTATGTCCCTCAGAAGCAACCAATGAAACAGGGCCTCTGGAACAACTGATATTTGTAGATGTCGCATCCATGGCGCCCCTGGGTGCCCAGTACAGACTGCTGGTTACCAAGATCAAGCACTTCCAGCTGCAGTAAGCGGGACTCCTTGTGGCCTTTCTCTGTTCGCTTGTCTGCTCTTCCTGAGCTTGTCTGTGCACGGTCCAGCTTCCTTCCTCCCAGATCAGCACCCCAGGAGGAAATCATCCACTTGGCATATTGTCTTAGCAACTTCTGAACTCTCCTGTACACAGCTGGGCAGCAGGGCCTTAGTCTGTGTAAGGGGGAAGCAGTAGGCGACTGGAGCAGAGCAGAGGGCAGCGCACCTGATAGGTGTATCTGTTCCTGGGCATCTGTGAGGGCCCCCTCCTGTCTGTCGTCCAAGCAAGTGTGACACCCAAGCACTAGTGATGGGTACTTCTGTGTCACTCACCAGTGCCACTCTCCTGAAGGAAGTTTTGGTTTTGTTTTAAGGAAGATCTTAAGCTATTTTTCTTACCCTTATTACTATTCCAGTTTTCTCCTTCTGGTTAGGAATGTATACAGGTTGAAAATAATATGTTATGTGGCTTTGAGTGAAAACTTATGACTGTTTCCTCCTTCTCCTTGCTCTACCATCCTTTGAAACCAAATCAGTCGGGATACAGCATCTCGATTTTTTTTATTAGACATGGAGTATAATAAATTCAGTGGAGGGTATTGTCTCTAAGGGATCTATTCTCTCCCAGAGGGTAGTCGCATAAAATATTGCATAAATCTGTGTGAAAATGTAAACAGAAAGGCTAAGATTATTCCTTAATAAGGCCAGAAACTTCAGGGAGTTTCCTGCCCTATCCTACTCTAAGTTCAAGGCTTCTCAAGGGTTCAAACCATTCCCTCCCCTCTCAGTGTTTTAAATAAAATTTTTTAAAATATGTCATTAAATCGGTCATATTAAAATTTTACTTTGTACTCATCAAAAGTTATCATTAAGAGAACAAAAAGACAAGCCATAGACTAGAGAATATGTTTCCAACACTAACAAAGGGCTCATAGGCAGAATATATAAAGAACCCCTACAAATCAATAAGAAAACACTGGCAAGCTTTTGGCTGCTGTCTGCAGTATCACCCACCCTTCTGTGGCTCTGGCTACTTCTGGGCAAGAATCTTGGAGCCTATGAGTCTGAGCACTGCTCAGAGTGGGGGCTGGCACCCAGGTGGGTGCAAGGTTCAGACTCCGCTTCAGTGAAATAACTAGATTCTCTGGGGCAAAAATGAGGAGATCTCAGGAACAGAAACGATATTTGAGACTTTGACCTCTCACTAGAACTTTGGGACAGAGACGGAAGATCTCAGAAGGGGAATCAGTGTTTATATTTACCCAATGAAAATAAATGACATATAAATAGACTCAAATATGCCAAGTAAAAGACTAAGAATATCAAATGGGATTTAGAAAAAAAGAAAACTAAATATATGTTGCTTACAAGAGTACAATCTTTAAAAAGAATGTATAAATGTAAATAAAAAGATAGTAAAAGAAATACCATACTGATACTAAACAAAAGAAAGTTGATGTATTATATCACATTATACAAGATATTCCTTAATGCAAGGAACATTATTAGATATAGAGAGACATTCCATATTTCTAAAATAATTATTTACCAGGAAGACAAATTTAAATTCTAAATTTCTGTGTACCTAGTAATATCATTTCAAAATATACAAAGCAAAACTTGCAGAATGGGAAGAAGTGTACAAATTCACAATCTTTGTGGTAACCTTCTCTATAGCTAATAAAATAACAAACCAAAAATTTTAAATGTATGTACAAGGTTCCACCACCATGTGAAAGTAGAGTGTTCCTGTGAAACCTTTTATAAGCCAAATGATATTAAGCAAAGAAGCAATTACCTTAGGACACATCTTGCTAACAGATGCACAGAATAAATTGAGATAAGGCACAGAGGTTCCCAGACATAATTCACAGCTATGGTGGCTTGATGCTGAGATGCTGAGTGTTGCTCCAGGGAAGGCGGTGGCAGTGCCACCCTCACCGCTCAGGGTGCACACTGCAAAACAAACGCTGAGCACTGTTTTCGCTTTTCATCTTTTTTCATAAAAGCAAAAATCTTCAGATTTCTTTCAGTTAGTGTAGTTTCTTTTTTTGGCATCTTTATCGGAGTATAATTGCTATTCAATGGTTTTTGGCTGCATTGGGTCTTTGTTGCTGCACGTGAGCTTTCTCTAGTTGTGGTGAGCAGGGGCTACTCTTTGGTGAGGTGCATGCAGCAGTTGCAGCGCGCAGGCTCAGTAGTTGTGGCGCACGGGCTTAGGTGCTCTGCGGCATGTGGGATCTTCCCTGACCAGGGATCAGACCCATGTCTCCTGCATTGGCAGGCGGATTCTTAACCACGGTGCCACCAGGGAAGTCCAAATTCTGTGTATTTTAAAACATCATCATTCTCTTGATTTCTATAGGTCTGTTATGATCATTAAAATAAATTCTTGAATTAAATGCTTGAAAAAAAAAAAAGTAAAAGAACTGAAAATAAAATTCAAAGAAAGTGGAAGTAAGTACTAAAATAAGAGCCCAAAACAATGAAATAGAAAGCAAATTAACAATGGACAAAATCAACCAAACCACAGGTCAACTATTTAAAATGACCAGCATTCTTTTTATAATTGTCTTCTAAAAAATAAAAAAGACAGGCAAGCCCACTGGAAAAAAAATAGGCAAGAGACTTAAACAGACACTTCACCAAAGAAACTATACAAATGGTCCAAAAACATAACCTCATCAGCTGTCAGAAATGCAAATTAAAACCATAATGAGATTCCACTGCACCGACCAAACTGCTATACTTTGAAAGGACTGACAACGCAGTTCCACTCCTACTTATATACTCAACTCCTAGATACATAATTGTGCTATTCATTCGAGGAATATCACACAACAATAAAAACAAACCATTTTTGTACCTAACAACGTGAATAAATCTCACAAACAAAATGTTGAGCAAAAGAAGCCAGACAAAAGGAATACACACTGTTTGATTCCATTTATATAAAGTTTAAAAACAGGCGAAACTATTCTGTAATGTTAGAAGTTAGGACAGTGGTACCGTCAGGGAGGAAAGGAGAAGTACACGGCTATGTTTACTTAGTGAGAATTCTTTCAGATATATACTTATGTCTTGTTATCTATATGTTTGTTACACTTCAATAAAAAGATTAATTTTTAAAAAATAAGAATATTTTAAAATATATACTACTTTTTGGCAGCTTATTTTTCTGATCAGAATGTTCTGCCCTATTATAAAGCTCTCCTTAAATTTTCTAAGGCAGTTTATCCTGAAGTCTGTAGCCAGTGGAGTTGCTGATATGAATCAAATATTTATCTTGGTCCTCTCTACACCCCTTGACGGTGTATACCCATAGATACAGATGGACAGATAGATTAATGAATGGTCAGAAGGATGGTGAAGTAGTTACAGCATTTTTTTTCCAAGTCCCTCCATTAATTTTGGTGTAGAAAAAAGTGATGTGATAATTTCAAGAGCAAAGAACCAGCCCCCCAAAAAAGGCAGAAAAAGATCAATTATATGAGTCTCTAGGAGGGAGGTTTGAGCATTATAGTATATACATTTTTAAGGTTCTCCAAGTGATTCCAATGTGCAGCAGAGTTGAGAACAGCTACCTTTAAGCAATTTCTAAATGCGGTGCTTGTGTTTAATTGTGTTAATAACTAAATTAATTTGTGATATTAAACAGTATGGGAATTCGTACTCATAATTTGAAGGAGGTGGTAGCGCTTTACCCGAACAGAGTGCATTTTGAACTTTGGAGAAGCCCTGCATTTACTAACTGGTCTCTGTGTGTCTGACCTGTCGCTGTCACCTGGTAGTAGTGTACTTGAATTCTAGGGCTGGTATCTGTGAGGCTAATTAGACCCTTTGGAGAAACTGAATTCTGTGAAACTGAAGCCATAAGGTCACAACTCTGTGAGAGGGTTACTGAATGATACGCATGTGGTGAAACTGCAAGTCTATTCCCTCATATTGTTTTCTGTTTCCGCCTCTCACAATGTGACCTGACCTCAGCAACCAGACATGCAGAGCATTTCAAAATGCACACAGTTACCAGGGGTTTTATGCGAATAAGATAAGCCCGAGAAGAGATGGTAACTAAGATATATGTGTCTCTTCCTCCCTGGCTCTGGATTGTCCCACACCAGCCTTGCTGGAAACTCAGAAATCCAGAGGACGATGGTAACAGGAAAGAGCTGAGGACTGTGGGGAGATCTGAACTCAGGTATAGAGAGAAACACTGAAGAACTCAAATTTCCCAACATTGCAGTTTCTGTTGTATGTTTTTCAGTGGCAGACTACAAGCGTTTTTTTTTTTTCTAGAATCATAAATTTTAAGAATAGAAGGAACTTTGGGAATTGAATCCACTCATTTCATTTTTACAGATGAGCAAACTGATGCCCAGAGAGGTTAAGTGATTTGTCCAAACTCACACAGCCAGGAAAGGCCAAAATCAAAATTAGATTCGACTTCTGACTTGCAGTTCTGAGCTGTTCCCACTATACCATGCTATTTTTACTTTCTGTTTAACACCATCCTCCTAATTTTTGTTGCCCTAAATATGTTTCTCAATTCCATGAAGCATTTATTTACTTAAATCCAGCTTAAAAAATTAACTTCTGCCTTAAAGCATTACTCTGTGCCGTCTTAACTCTCCCCCACCTGCCTCCACACATGCACATACACCAGCTTTGCCCCTGCTCCTTTTCCCAGACCCCATTGCCCTGGCGCTCAGTGCTGCAGCGTGTGAAGTTGCAGACAGGGAACAGCAGGAGGCTGCAGGAACAGGCAGGCACCTGCTCCTGGGGTGGGAGGAGCCTGGAAGGGCTGTTGGGAATTCTCTGGTGATCCAGTGAATAGGACTCCATGCTTTCACTGCCGTGGGCCTGGGTTCGATCTCACAAGCCATGTGGCTCGGCCAAAAAAAAAAAAAGATATCCCCAAGAACGGAAAATGCATGACAGATAGTTTAAAAAGAAAAAGAAAGAAATTTAGACAGCTGTCTATGTTGTGATATTTGTATGGATAATGGATTTGAGGGGACTCGACTGGATGCAGAGAAATTAGAAGGCTGATGCCGTGGTCAAGATAAATAATGAAATGAACTGAAGAATTTAGAGGTGAAGTTGACAAAGCTTGATTGGATATTCAGGGTAAGGGAAGTGGGAGAGTCTAGGATGACCATCTAACTTGTAGCTGGTGGTGCCCCTAAGAGAAAATGAGAATTTTGAGGAGGGAAGGAAAAGATAAGTTCACTTTGGGACATGTTGAACTTGAAGTGCAGTGCCTGGCAGAGTGTTGAACTTATACAGCACGATGCTCAGGAGAGAGGGCTGAGAGGCAGAGAGGCCACTGAGTAGAAGCTTCAAGAAGGCTGGTCCCTATGGTGCCTGAGGTGGAGTTACAGGAGGTAAGGGGAGAAACAGGCAGTACGCAATCCTTGATCTTTGAGATATTTTTGCTGCACCAGGCAGTTTAGACTTCATCTTTAAGGTTATGGGAGCCACTAAAAGATTTTAAGCAACAGAATATCAACAGGTCTGATTTTTGAGATGACTTTAGTAGCCGTGTAGAAGATGAACTGGAGAGGAGAGGGTAGAGGCACGTAGACAAATCAAAAGTTTGAACAGAGAAGAATTAAAAAATTATTAGGACCTGAACATATCATGGTAGCAACAAAGTTGTAAGGGAGAAAAAGAGTCAAGTAATACACATGGGGATAATTCACAAATTCAAAAAATACATGTGGCAGAATCAAAAATATAGTCTTACATGAGTACTTGAAGGCTTCAACCCTCCTCTAGCCTTCTAAGTAGGGATCTTGAGTCTTTGTTTTGAGAGTTTTGAGTGCGATAGCTCAGCTACTGTGCTGTGAAAAGTCATAGATTTTTGAGGAAATGGATGAGTAAAGAGGCTTTTAGACCATTTTGCTGTATGTCATCCTATGTAATGGCCCTTTGGTATTTTGGGGTAGAGTACAGTGATTTACATTGTTTTTCGGGTTTTTTTTTTTTTTTTTTGGATGCTATACTGAGCCAAGACAGTGCTTCAGGTGGGAGCAGGTGCATCCAGGTTACATTTACACTAATAGAATCAGTAAGACTTGGTGAGCAGTCAGCTGTGGAAGGGATAAAAAGGGAATTCAAGACAACTCCAACAATGATGTCACAAGTCAGGTGAGGCTTATCGACAGACGTGGCAGGTCAGGGTCAGGGAAACGGGAGTACATTCCATTTTGATCATATGGAGTTTGAGATGCTTGAGGGCCAGTGAAGTGCAGAAGCCCAGCAGAGAAACACTTTTCTGTGACTGGAGCCCAGGAGATAGCCCTGGGCTGGACATGGAAACTTGTGATTCACTACCATTGTTGTGGTTTTTGTGGCAACTGAATATTTATATATATGGATTTTATGGCAATTATAATATATATAATTATACATATATGAATGAAGATGTATGTGGCTAAGGAAAACGAGGAGATCAAGAACAGGACTGTGGGTCACATTCTCATATAAGGGATGGTCTGAGAAATAGGAGCTCTCAGAAGAAGCTGACTCGTCATAGTCAGATGTGCGGAAGAAAACGCAGGAAAGCAGGGGTCACAAGCCCACGGGAGGAAGTTCTAAGACAGAGGAAGTGGCTGTGAGTGTCAACTGTCACAGACAGGTAAAGAAAATTAAGAACTAAGTCACTGGATTTAGCTACAAGGAGGTGACTGCAACCTCAGGGAGATGGTGGAAAAAGAATCCTGACAGCAGTGGGGAGAGGAAAGCATGAATGAGGGATTGGAGCAGAGCACTCTTTGAAGAGGCTGGTTGTGAAGGAGAAGGATATAGAATGACATCAAAGGAGAGAAATTTGGGGAAAAGAGGGCAATTCTGGGGGGTGCTTTTGTTTGTTATTTATTTTGAAAATGGTTGAGACTAGAGTATATTTATAAACTAAGGAGTAGAAAGGCGGGTAAAATTTATAGGAGAGTTGGATTTTTGTAGAAGCAACGTCCCAGAGGAGGGAAGAAAAGACAGGATTTAGCACATGCGTGGAGAGTTTATACTTCAGCCAGAGCCTTGAGGTGGAGGGTTACAGATGATGGAGGGTTGGGGAAAGATTTGGGATAAGCAAAGGCAGCTCATGACAGATGGCAGTAAGGAGATAACAGGAAATGATACTCTGAAGTCCATAGTCCAAGTGAATAACCAGTGTGATTTCCTTCGACAAAGTGAGGGTTTTCAACGCTCACTGTGCTCTGTGCTGGGGGCTTGCTGTCAGAAGATAAATATGATGCCCTGAATCTCACAGTCCTCTCTGTACTCACCTCAAAAACGACTTAGTTTTTGTCTCTGCCTGTCTTTCGACTTACCCTTTCTTCCCATCCCCCCTTCCTTTTCCTTCTGTTTTATTACTCTCCTGTAGATACTTCTCCCCCTTCTCTCTCCCTTCCCCATGGGCCCTTTTCTCCCTCTTCTCCTGACTCCCTTCCCTGCACACCCATCTCTCTTGACTCCTCTGTTCCTTTTCTCTTTCCCTCTCCCTCAAACTAGCCAAAATGAGGAAACAAAATTTGCTTTTGGGTTTTCTTATTTATTGAATAAACCTTTGTTTCCTGTGTTTAATTTTTTCAAATAAGTCGAAAATTGTGTACTTCCTTCTCTAAAACTAAAGGCGTACGTGTGTCTCAATTAGATTTGTTCTGTTGCTTAATGACACCTGTTAAAATAAACCTTCCCCACCTCCACTGAGGCCCATGGGGAAGGAAACAGAACCTTTCATCTGCAACAGGCACCATGTTTATTTTGCACACACTGTTGGCTCCATGAGAAAGAGAAGACTTAACTGTGATAGTCTTAAAGAAAATAAAGTGTTTTCAAAGTTTGTATGTGTTGTACTAGTAAAGCAAACATAAAGAACAAGAAAAAAAAAAACCCAGAAAATTCCTATCAATGTCCACACATTCAATGTCATAACTGCAATTCAAATGACAGGGGAGAATTGAAACACAAATTGCTGGCCAAAGAAAACTGTTTTCTCCTGGAAATCTTACACTGTCTGTTGCCAGCCAAGAAAATCACTGTCCTCTTTGTTCCCCTGACCTGGAAACAAACAGAATTGAGGGCCCCGTGTTGCCCTGGTAATAGCAGATGACACTCCCCACACGCTGAGAGCCACACACAGCACCGCGGGTCCTGACTCTGGCTGTGGAATCTCAGGAGAACACACACAACTGGATTTGACACCGACTTTGGCTTCTCTAGGTGACTTAAGATCACGAGTTACTAACCATATGTCAGCAGAACCAATCCTTGACTCTGATGATGATTTCTATTGAGAGTGAATATATACAAATTGCAGCCATTGCTAAACTCTAAGCCTCGTCTGCTCACAGCCTGAATTGTTTGTCATTACCTTTAGAAATAGTGCTCAAATTTTATGACTTCTAAACAACGCCTCCAATTATAAACTTCATGCTTAAATGTCCTGACATGCCCTTTCTAAAGGAATCTTTAATAAAAATTTTAAACTATTTAATTTTTATAAAAGGAAAATTAGGAGTGGAGAGAAAGACTCCTTAGCATTGGGGGATAAAGCTGGGGAAGGACCCCAGAAGAAGTTCAGGTTCAGGTTCCCAGAAGTGCAGGTCACACTGGACAGTTGGGATCATGACGCTCCCCGGACGCAGGCACTGAGAGTGCAGTGGGCATGTGTGAGTGATCTTCACAACTAAAAATGAGGCAAGAACCAGAAAGAACAAAAGCCCCAAACAGCCCTTACATGACTACAGAGAAGAGCAAATTTCTCTTTGTTTTCCAGTCTCTTGAACTGTTCACGTATGTTCCTTCCAACAGCACCCTGTGCTACAGATGTATGCTTCCCACATGCTCCCCACACTGTCCTTTCCTCAGTGCTGGATCATTTCTGTCTTTCACAGAAGAATGAAAATATCTAATAAAATAATTCACAGCGAATTAATAATTGGAGAGAAAATAACTTCATTATATTCTTTTGGTGGTATGTGCATTTTAAGAAGGGTCTTAGAAGGCAATGCCTAACCCAAAGAGGACACAACCTTGGAGGGAAATGTAGACAACTGGGGGTGCTTGGGGGGCAGGAAGAGTATGCTCCTATCCCTAGACACCCTCCCATGGTGATTATCTATCCACCACATTTTTTAAAAAGTGATCTTCTGCCATGGATACATCAAAATTTGGAAGTGCTATCTGAATTATGCAAATGAACCTCAAACCTCCTTTTCCTCTCCCTTTCAGACCACTTCTGACACCTAAAGCCTGTACTTGATTGTAAAATCTTAAGAGAATCCAAAGACAAATGTGTCTATAAAAGTCAACAAAGTACTTACTTGTATAGGTATGACTTCATGGGTTTACAAAGACATAAAATTGATCAGTTCCCCAATTTGATCATTCTTGAGAGTTGAAACCAAGTTCCCATGCAGCACACTTTGTCACTTTTATGGGCCCAGAACTCCTTTCCCAAAGGGTAGGGCTTTCCTTGCATCTAGTTTAAGATTTTTTTTTAATAAACAATTTTTGTTTGCTAACTTATGCTTTTCTTTCACTTTTCCCACTTTCCCCTCTCCCCCTTATATTTCTCAGGACAAATGTTGCCTTTCACTTTACTGCCAGTCCCTCTCAACCCCAGGTAAGTGAAGGGCTTCAAGGTTATCATGATTCTTCCTGTTGGTGTTACCCAAAGAAACCATGGTAGCAGGTAGAGTTAGCATGTGATGTTGCCCTTGATCTTTCACAACATGAGTTATATTTGTACTTTTGGAATGTTGTTCATGTAACTGGGATTTTAGACACACCTTTAACCTTATCACTTGAATTGGTGTAAAATGGGAGGCATGAAGTATTTGCAGATGTTCCTTGGCTCAACCTTCATTCATAAAATTGTGGGCCTACTATGTACCAAGTACAGTGATAGATTGTACTAGGTGCCAGGGATAGAAGGATGAAGAAGAGACAGGTGCAACTTCTGCCTTCACGGACCTTATAATCAGGATGGGGGTGGGGAGACAGAGGATGGAAGACCACCACTAAACAAATACAAAAATAATCAATTGATCTGAAAGTATAATAAAAATGAGACAGATTTTAATTTCTGCAGTGTTATGGGTGAAATTAATTAGTTTCTCCTGTCATTAAGAAAGAACAGGAATGCTGACAAAAATTATTAGAAGAATTAGATATTTGTGCTGTGCTCTCCATTAGGCCATAGTCATAAACAGAGTAAATAGATGAAAACTTTGATTGACTTAGGCTGCTTTTCTGGTGACACTTCTAGCTACCTTCCTTTCTCCTCTCATAGCTTCTGAAAGAGTGAAGTTTATGCAATAGCAAGTTTAAAACAGATTTATTTAATGTCCTGGTATTTATTATAAGTCTTCTGTAGGCTGTAATGCAACTTTGTCAAAAATGGCTTTGGATGTACTGTACTAAAACTGGGATTAACATATTATATGGATAATGTTGTAAATCTGTTACAACCACTTGTGAGCTGGTGAATATTTAACAACTGGTTCTTAGAGTGAAAGCCCTGTTTTGTAGCATCTGCCCATTTCTGCAGTGTAAATACCTCCACTCTGGCGGATTTCAAGCTGCCAGCGTGACGTCATTGAACACAGAGTTTGGAATCGATGTGTACAGTCAGCTCCCCAGACCTGCAAGAGCCAACTCCAGCACACCTTGAAGAGTTAAATTTCCCATCAGTGAAAGCCTCCACAGTGCATATATGCTGCCACCGAGTGACAGAAGAGGACTAAGTCCCATGATCCATTGCCCTCAGAGTATTAGCCACTTAATTCATGAAATATGTGAAAGCACTAGTTACTAGGGGCAATGGGAGATATCTATATAGAAAGGGAGGGGAAAACTTGTACCCCAACTGCAGAAAGAGTACAGTCTAATAGTCCTGTCGAAAGCTATAATAAATATGATAGAAATATCATACTTATTTATTTATAAATATCATTTATTTATTTATTTATAAATATAATATCATTATATTTATTTATAAATAAATATAATAAAAATGTGTGAATGTCGTGATGTACTTTGTAGACTGAAAATCAGTGATGATTATATATTATAGCTTCTTTCAATTTTAAAAAAGTATTAAACACTAAAGCCCAAATAATTTGTATATAAATCACAAACTAGAGTAAAATATACTTAAAACAAACTCATGAAACAAAACAGAAATTCTTTGACATCTCTGAAAGTCTTAACTTTACTCATAACTGTTCCCATTTCGGCCTATATTTTATATCCTCTTCAACTGTAGAAAAAATTTTCTGTTCCTGTAAGTCCACCCAAACTACTGCACATACTCAGACAACCTGAAGCACCACAGTCTGCCTCTATTCCTGTAGATAGAAGCAGGTTACAGAAACTGGATAGATAATCAGGACACAAGATGGTGATTTTTAGACTAAATTCCAGGCATTGCTTTGGATCCTTGTCACTTGCTTCCTTCTGGTAAAAGTAGATTCTCAAGGCAAGGGGTTTACTTATTTGGGGTTTATGGTAATTTAAAGGTAAAAAACGATTAGTAATACCTTGGTATACAGATAAGGCTTCGGTAGATGTCTACAGCTTGCACAAAACCAACTCCTAGAATATACAGGCATATATGTGATGCTCATTACTGCTAATAGTAACCATAATAATGCTTTTGAGTTACAAAGTATGGTTCCCCTAAGAACCATGAACGCCTCTTGGGAATTCCAGAGTATTCACCTTTGGAAGAGCCCTGTATTATATGTATTTGAATCAAGCTCCAAAATAAAAGCACAAAAATGGAGTGGCTTCTTGAGAGTGTTGCCATCTGTTACAAGGCATGAACAGACTTCCAAAAAGCAGCGTTAATGGCACTCTTTAATCTTGAGATGATTTTTTTCCCCTTAAGAAGGCTTTGGATTGTTGAAAAAGTTATATTTTTATTGCTCTGGTTCTCAGAATAAGGTTAATAAAGAGGATGTGGGAATGCAAAATGAAGTTTTCACGGGTTTTGCTTCTCCTTTAAAGTGATAGATTTACTAAAGCCCTAGGATAGGGGTTTGCTTTGTTTTCCTCAAAATTTTAATCGTATATTTCATGTCAAGCTTCTCAACCAGTTTCTATATTTATAACTACTGGGCAGAAGTCCCCTTTCTTCATTATTAGCAACATGTTTAAGGCTTAGAGTTAATAAATTTTTCCAGTGGATTGATAATCTAAGTAGGTAAATAGTGTAACTTTTGTCTATTATAAATGTTTCCTTATTCTGATGATATTGGAGAAATACTTCTGCCCAAAATTGTGAACGTATTTCAGGAGGCTAGATGCAGGGCTTGGTCTTTGAATCTAAATGTCATCTCACTGTATTCCAGCCAGGAAATAGATTCTTTGGCAAGAAAGTCTAGGGGAAGGGTGGGTCTAGTGCTAATTCTTGCCTGTGGGAATGTGGTTAAGATTCTTGAAGAACAGGCTTATCTGCTTTTCAAGGAGGAGCTTCATGTTTCAAAATGACCCCACAGAGGCAAACCTTGTCTCCTGTCACATTTCACATATCTCTAATTCAAAGGGTTGGGGGCATCTTCTTAAGTCAAAATTAGAATGAAGTGTAGCAAAGTTTAGTTGAGAAGGAAAAACCAGAAAAAATGATATGGCAATATTGTATGAAATGGCTCCTTGCTCTTGTTCACTGCTGTGTTCCTAGTGCCTGAGCCCTGCACAGAGCATTTGCTCAATATGCAAGAGATGAATGGCTGACTGAATTACTGGAGGTTTACTGAGATTTACATCTGAACTTTCTGCTTAATATTTGAGGAAACCACCTTATTCATGGGAAAATAGCTTGAGTTTTTGACCATAAACATTTCTTAACATTAACAAATCCTGTCTTTCCTTTTTTTATTCTTAGTATTTTCTATACAAATTTCCTGAAGATGTGGAGTCAGTTATCATTAAAGTTGTGTCTGAAATGGCTTATCCATGCTCTGTTGTCTCAGTCCAGAATATCATGGTGAGTCTTCATAACCTGTCAAACTTCCAATATGGAGTACTATACTGTCCCAGGATAAATGAGAGAGAAGGGTGACCACCATGTCATCCTCATGCTACATATTCCTGACAAAACTGCTAAATAATAAAAACAGTATCTTGTGCACACAAGTGGGCAGTCTGTGCTTGTAGACATTGATCTGGGGAGATAGAGAGCAGTTGACTCCTCACCAAAATAAACAAAGGAAGGAAGGGAGGGAGGGAGGATTATGACAGAGAGCAAGGAAGACCAACTTGTGGGCTGCACAAGAAAAACAGAAACCTGTTTGCTCTATTTTTTAAAATTTTTATTGCGTCATTAGGCCCTTTCTGTTTCATAAGGTGTTAAATAAAAAATGGGAAAGGTGTGATACACTTTAAGATGATCTTTTCAGTTCTCTTTGATATAAAGTGACCTTGACTTCAGAGGACAAGGCACCAAGTTTTAGGAGGACTATTTCATGACTGTTCTGGGGGAAAACTCTTCATGGTTTCTGGCTCAGTAGGGACCCCCTCCGCTGTGATCCAGGTGGCATGTGTGGTATGTATACTATGACATTAGTGATGCTTTCCTTTTTTATCCCTCATGCATGTTACAGTGCCCAGTGTATGATCTCGACCACAATGTAGAATTTAATGGTGTCTATCAGTCCATGACCAAGAAAGCTGCCATCACACTACAGGTGAGACATCGCTTCTGTGGTTGTTATTGTCAATGATAGTGCACAGTTTATAATCAGATCACCTACTGGACCAGTCAGGTTACCTGCCGGATTTAGAAAAACCTAAGGGATTACCGCTCACTGTGTGCCTTGAATCTCTTTCCTTTCTGATTGATTTTAAAACAAAGATTGCTACACCTGAAATCAAAGCCTTGGTGATAGTAGACAGTGCAACTCTACCAGGTGCTCCGTTCCCCTTGGGGAATCTTGGGAACCTGTGATGCAGTGGGACATGTGTCTGACAGATTGCTTAGAGAAGTAAGGGCAAAAGATTCCAATCTACCCAATGGGGGATGCTGGTTTAGGGTAAAGTTTACCTGATCCGTTTAAAACAACTAAACGTATTCTACTAAAACAATATTTTTAATCAACTATCTTTCAATTGAAAAAAAACATATTGTAACCAAAACATAACTTCAACTCTGGACAGAATGGACAGGTTCAAAGGAATATGAACCACATTTGTGCAGAAGTTTGCCCTTTTGGTATGATAATTAAATTATTATTTCAATGGTAATTTTATAGCAAAAATGTACAGACATCATGTCAGCATATTTTCAAAGAGATTCTGTCCCTGGCTTTAGAGCGGTACTTACTTGGAGTACCTGCAATTTGATCTGTTCTCTAGGTAAGGAGATACTGTTTATTGAATAGCAGGCCATGAATGAGGAGAGGTTAATTATAATTTAGGTATCAGACCAAAAAACTTCTACTAGTCAGGCTTTTATTTTTAATGTCTCAGATTCGATATCTCAAATATCTGCCCTTGTTTTTAGTATTTTTTCTTCCTTAGCACATCAGCATTATGTGGTCCCAAATTTAAAAAGACAAAAGAATAACCATAGTAGGAAACTCAGATTTTACATCATCTGGACACCAAATTAATGAAGTGCAAATCACATCAGTACATTCCTACTTTCAATATGTTTGGCAACAAGTTATTACTTCTCTTTTGGACCCATGATTCAGTACTGGGCCATTTTCTCAGTGGGTTAAACATAATATCAGAAATTTGGGGATAATTAAAAAGATCAGAGTTGTATAAATATACTGGACCTTAAAGATTATCTTGTCAACCATGCTTCATTCATGGATAAGAAACTGGGACACAGAGAAGCCCATGTAGAGAAAGTCAAAGCCAGGACTGTAACCCAGGTCTCCTGACTTGAGTCTTTGCTTCCCTAACGTAAATTGTTTATTTAACCGCTGACCGTGTGACTTTTAGGAAAGTCATTTATCATTAAATTTTAAAATAATAAAAACTTAATATGTCCTAAAAAATAAAGTTTATTCAAGAATTTAAAATGCAAGTATGAATTATTAAACATAGACTGTTGACATATATTTTATACGGGGTCTACTACAATTCTAAGCACTCAAGTGGGCACCGGACAGATTGAAATCAGAACACTCTATTTACATAATTTCTTGGATATAACAATTATTTTATTATGGATAACCTGGAGTAGATCATGGGAATGTGAGTCCTTTCTAAGGAGCTAGGGAGCAGAGGTGAACTTTACTTTTCTTCTCTTTCCTCTTTCTTTTTGCCCCCACCATTATATGGACTTTCTCCCTTCTTCTCCCTATCTTTATGTCTTGTGCAGAAGAAGGATTTTCCAGGTGAGCAGTTCTATGTGGTGTTTGTGATAAAGCCTGAAGATTATGCCTGTGGAGGATCTTTCTTCATCCAGGGTAAGGAACAGTGAGGAGTATTTGTCTACTTAGAAAAACCTAACAGAATGCAATGGAAAGGAAGCCAAAAGCTCATTTTGGCCCCGTCTGGCCCCTTCCAACCATCTCTAGTTCCCACTAAGTGAGGGTCATCAGCAGTGGCTTGGCAAGGCAGTCTGAGACATACGTGAGAAAAAAATAAAGGGAAGAAAATAATAAATCTCAAGATATTATTGATACTACAAAATGCCATTTAGTGCCTGAATCTTTTCAAAGTCTTGTACGCCCTCAGTTGACCCAGTTGGCCCAGTTCACTCAGTGGGCCCTTTACTCAACAAATATTTACTACCGTGAAGTAATGATCTTATACAGCAGATCGAGGTCCATTTTCAAAGATCAGTTTGGTAGCGAGCAGTAATGGAGCCACTTATGTTTATCAGTAGTCATCATTTCCCCAAGGAAAATTCAGACTTCTCAATTCCCATTGCCAAAATTGTACCTTTCAAGGCAGTAAGTGAGCAAAGTAGGGCAACTTATCCCAATGGCAGGGGTTATGTCAGCTCTTAGTCATAGTACAAGTGGTTATGGGCAGCTACCCACTACCTACCACGGGAAAGGAATAGGCTGTTGATTGAAAACACAGACCCCCCAGCAGCTGATAGGCCATATGTGATCAACACGAAAAGTGTTTACTGTTGAGTGTAACATCGTTCCCTCAGTATTTAGGTGAATTTTCTTCTAATATATTCTTTAATCTCTTAATTACATAGCTCTAGAGTTTTGCCAACATCCAATGTTCTCGGTAAACTATAAGTCCTTTGATGGCCATATAAGAAAAAAACAAATTCTCACTGCCTAGAAAAATGCAAACCAACAGTGCAAGAGTGTTCCCCTTTCTCCATACCCTCTCCAGCATTTATTGCTTGTAGATTTTTTGATGATGGCCATTCTGACCAATGTGAGGTGATAGCTCATTGTAGTTTTGATTTGCATTTCTCTAATGATTAATGATGTTGAGCATTCTTTCATGTGTTTGTTGGCAATCTGTATATCTTCTTTGGGGAAATGTCTTCTTAGGTCTTCTGCCCATTTTTGGATTGGGTTGTTTGTTTTTTTGATATCGAGCTGCATGAGCTGCTTGTATATTTTGGAGATTAATCCTTTGTCAGTTGCTTCGTTTGTAAATATTTCCTCCCATTCTGAGTGTTGTCTTTTTGTCTTGTTTATGGTTTCCTTTGCTGTGCAAAAACTTTTAAGTTTCATTAGGTGGGAATGTAAATTGATACAGCCACTATGCAGAACAGTATGGAGGTTCCTTAAAAAACTAAAAATAGAACTACCATACAACCCAGCAATCCCACTACTGGGCATATACCCTGAGAAAACCATAATTCAAAAAGAGACATGGACCACAATGTTCATTGCAGGACTATTTACAATAGCCAGGACATGGAAGCAACCTAAGTGTCCCTCAACAGATGAATGGATAAAGAAGACGCAGCATACATATACAGTGGAATATTACTCAGCCATAAAAAGGAACAAAATTGAGCTATTTGTAGTGAGGTGGATGGACCTAGAGTCTGCCATACAAAGTAAGTCAGAAAGAGAAAAACAAATACCGTATGCTAACACATATACGTGAAATCTAAAAAAAACCAAAACAATGGTTCTGATGAACCTAGGGGCAGGACAGGAATAAAGACACAGACATAGAGAATGGACTTGAGGACATGGGGAGGGGGAAGGGTAAGCTGGGACGAAGTGAGAGAGTAGCATTTACATATATATACTACCAAATGTAAAATAGATAGCTAGTCGGAAGCAGCTCCATAGCACAGGGAGATCTGCTCCATAGCACAGGGAGATCAGCTCGGTGCTTTGTGACCACCTAGAGGGGTGGGATAGGGAGGGTAGAAGGGAGGCGCAAGAGGGAGGAGATATGGGGATATATGTATACGTATAGCTGATTCACTTTGTTATACAGCAGAAACTAACACAACATTGTAAAGCAATTATACTCCAATAAAGATATTTTAAAAAAAAAAAGAAAAAGGAAAATGCAAACCAAAAATGTAGTAGCTTTCTATTTTTGCAGCTGTTTTCTTCAGATGTCTGTGGCATATTGAGCCATATGATATCAGGAGAAGGGTCAAGCCGTCTTCATTCAAGAAAGGAGGCTGCATTCTCATTTGACTCACCTAGTGCTACCAAAATGCACCCAAACAAAGGCCAAGTTGAAAGTTTTAACCGAAGAGAGTATTAGACAGTTTGAAGGTTTTCACGTAGTTCTTGCTAAAAGGAAATTCAGCAACCAGAGTTAATTCTGGACAGTTTTTAAACAGCTGTTCAGATCAGAGACCAGGAACCTAGTATCTGATCCTTTGTGCTTTGTTCTTTTTTACCAGAAAAGGAGAACCAGACCTGGAATCTACAACGTGCAAAGAACCTTAAAGTGACCATTGTTCCTTCCATCAAAGGTCAGTCTTGTTACTGAGATTCAGTGGAGAGATTCCTATGTCAGGAAGGCAGTCATGTCATTCAATGCTAATGTCATCCTTCCAGAGAAACATCGTAAGAAAACTAATGTTTACCTTAGAGATAGAAGAGAGAATCAAAGCATTTTGCTAAATCCTTTGCAGAAAGAAAGGGAAGTCAATTATGAAGTTGTATACAGGAAGTCCCTCCCCAGCTTCCCTGAGGAAGTCATCACTGTGAAAGGCAGCCATTTATGGACGATGTCTGGGTGACCTCCAATAGCTTTGCTGCTTTGAGTGGAATTATCTTAGGATTTAAGAATGAGTGTGATGCAGATGGGCCCATGAAGCTGTCCTGTCCCAAACATGGTCCTCTCTTCTCTTGAGGACATCCTGACCAAGGCTGTTTCTCTTCCCTCAGGATCTGTTTATGTGAAATCCATTCTCCTCAGTTTCCTCATCTTCTTCTCCTTCTACTTGGGATGCCTGTTTGTTGCATTTGTTCATTATATCAGGTATGTCAAGAGTTTCAAGAAATGTCAACCCCCTTCACCTGTCTCTGCTTAGTGATTAGCACATTAGATTTTAGAGCCATATTAACTGGATTCGGATCTACCTTAGCCACAAACTGTGTGATCTTGGGCAAGTTACTTAAACTTTCTGTGCTGAAGTTTCTTCATCTGTAAAATGAGATAATAATTTACCTCATAGACCAGTGTAACTGCAGTGTTTACATGAATGTCCTGCACAGAGTAAGTGCTGATAGTGTTAGCTATTTTCATAGTTAATGAAACTTCAACAGAAAGATAGCTTGGGTAATCTTTAGACCAGAAAATACTTAATGTAGATCCTATGGAATGTAAGAAATGAGTTCTACCTAACATGGAGATTTAGAAACAGCTTTAAACATTCCATCAAAAAGTACAATTAATGCCTAAAATAAATATTGAGGTATAATAAGTAGCAGGAGTAATAAATATGCTTTGACACTACATTACCCGGTGCTTTCTTACTGTTGTAGCATCAATTTTACAGTAAAATGTTCCTCGAGAGAAAAAAAGGAGACAATCATGCTGTAATTTGGAAATTTCCCTTCCCAAGAGTTTGGAGCCCCCAGTGAAAAGAGCACCAGTCTTTCCTTGTATCTCAGAGCAGGCCTGAACCTTGAGAATTCCATAGCTTGTCGTGGTCTCTGTAAAACAACTACAAAGGAATGGCAGGAGGTATAACAAACAAATGTTCTCTCTCCTCTTGAGAATGTAAAGAAAACAAAGCCAGTATAGAGTTTTCAGATTAATGGGCAAGATTAGTCTCATCTGGAGAAAAACCTCAAGGCTACCACAGTGATACAACTATCTCAGTGATACAGGCCTACCTCTGACTCAAAACATAACTCCCTTCTGTGACTTTTATGAAGCTTTGCAATTGAGAAACTGACTTCAAAAACCCACTGGCCATACCTGGGACAATTTGAGAGCCAAAACAATTAAGGAGAATAGTGAATTATAAACCATTAAGAAAAATAGAAATTCATGAATCCATATCAGTAAGGGAAGAAAGGAAGGGAGAAAAGGAAGGAGGAAGGAAGGAAAGAAAGACCAAAATTCTTACAGATATACATTTAATAAACTCAACAAAATTACTAAAATAGATACACATTAGGGACAGGACCCATTAGCAAATACTGACCTAGAAGGGAGGACTCTTGCCTGCAGCAGAACACCAAACACTGACTGGTGAATAAGAAGAGGGTGCTAGAATTGGAAAATCATCATTTTGCATAGATCAGGTTAAGAATCATCAATGAATACTAAAACTAGCAGGAAAATCTGATGAGGATCAACATATTTGCATGGCCTTAAGTGTATCCCCACAAATCGCTTAGTAGTTGTAAGGGGAAAAGTAGTAACTATACAGTGGAGAAATTAGACTATTGACAGGGTGATAAAAATTAATATGACCAAGGGAAAGTTGGACACTCTGTGTCTCCAGATGTGATGCCCTGAGAAGGAAATAGCATCACTTATGCAGTATTCCAGCCAGAAATGCACATTTTTAATATAATCCTGAGGAAAAAATTAGACAAACTCAAAGTGATGAACATTCTATTAAAATGTATCACGAAAGACAAAAAATAGCTATGGAAATGTTCCAGATTGAGGGAGACTAAATATATGTGACCACTAAGGACAATATTTGATCTCAGACTGGTTCTTTTACTAGAAGAAAAATATGCTATAAAGGACATTATTGGGTCAATTGACAAAACTGTAAAACAGACAGCAGATTAGATAAGATTATCATACCGATGTTAAATGTGCTGAAGTTGACAACTACACTGTGGTTATGGAAGAGAGTATCTTTATTCTTTGGAAATATTTAGGCACAAAAGTTCATGACATATGCAACTTACTTTCAAGTGGTTCAGAAAAAAATTTTTACATATACATGTATATGAAAACACACATATGCACCCAGAGACAGAATGAGAAAGCAAAGGGGGTAATACGCTAACAATAAGTGAATCTAGGTAATGATACATGAGTATTCTATATTCTATTCTTATTCTTACAGCTTCTCTATAAATGTGAAATTATTTTCAAATAAAAAATTAAAAACAAAATCTCCAGTCTACAGGCAAATATTATACCTGGAAAGTATACATACATTAACTGGTTATCCGCTCATCAATTTATCAGATCATAATCACTAACACTGAACAAGTACTTATTCTTTGCCAGGCACTCTGAGTAGACTATCTCATCTAAAGCCCCACAACAAGTAGTAGTATTAGCATTATTTGACAGTTCAGGAAATTGAGGCATTCAGAGGTTAAGCAGTTTGACCAAGAATTCACTGCCTGGGTTTGAACCCAGGCAGCCTGGCTCCAGAGCCTTAGCTCTTAAGCAGCCCAGACAAGATGGGTCTGGAGTGATCAGGGCATGTGAAGGAGGGCAGTCCTAATCAAGGAAACCAGGTCAAAAACCTGGAACCGCAGCATGAATTTGATTGAAAAGGGGTCCGAAAAGCTGCCAGTTTTGACTCAGATGAGTTACAGCATCATGGGAAAAGAAGTTCATCTTTTCTGCCTCTCTTAGGAAGGCTGTCTCTACCACTGATGTTCTAGATTTTAGAAAATAGGTTTCACCTCTTTAGTTACCTAGCAGATATAACCAGTGTACAAACAGACAGAAATTAATAGCTGGATATCAATCTCTCTAAAGTTGTTATTCAGCCTGCTGAAGCGAGCACAGTTTTTGAAAGTTGTGGCGTAGGCTCTGTTGAAACCTCTGGCTGCCAGATTACTTTGCTACTGCCAACTGCACAAGCATAGATTCTTTCCAAATATAGGCAAACTGAAAATAGAAATCTGGAGACATAAGAACTACTTGGCATCTAAATAGGGGAATAAACTGAGAGAAAATGCTAATAGAACTCTTCCTTCATTGAACTAAGCAGAAATAACAAAGTTTTCTACAAAACCAAGTGAAGCCAGCCAGTCCTGGAGCAGAATGCCAATTGCTCGTTGAGCCCCCTGTTCTTTATTACTAATACATGTGGGGTTCGCAGTACATGCTATGAGATCAGGATGAAAACAATGATTAGAGATATGGCTCCTGTCCTCAGGGAGCTAAGAATTCAAAATGTTTTTATGCTATTTTTTGTTTTTTATGTTTTTTTGTTTTTATGTTTTTTTGGCTCAACCCTGAACTCCATTCCCCTCCCCACCCCCAGCTCCAATTCATTCAGCAAGTATTTATGGAGCCCCTGCAATGACCCCCCTGGGTCAAGCACTACATACATGTCTCTTTTTTTCTTTAATTATATTATATCTATATCAATTTATTTTTAAAATTTATTTTATTAATTTACTTTTGGCTGCGTTGGGTCTTCGTTGCTGTGCAGGGGCTTTCCCTAGCTGCGGCAGGCAAGGACTACTCTGTTGCAGTGCGCGTGCTTCTCATTGCGGTGGCTTCTCTTGTTGTGGAGCACAGGTTCTAGGCGCGCAGGCTTCAGTAGTTGTGTCTCACGGGCTCTAGAGCACAGGCTCAGTAGTTGTGGTGCACGGGCTTAGTTGCTCCACGGCATGTGGGATCTTCCTGGGCCAGGGCTCGACCCCGTGTCCCCTGCATTGGCAGGCAGATTCTTAACCACTGTGCCACCAGGGAAGCCCTGCATACATGTCTCTTATTCCTTCCTCTCAGTCACCCTGCCAGATGTTGAGTTCAAACTACATGATCCTGATTACTCGTTCTTCCCTTGATTCCTGTATTAGTTATCTATTGCCACAATAATGCTGCATAAAAATCAACCATAAGGGCCTCCCTGGTGGCGCAGTGGTTGAGAGTCCGCCTGCTGACGCAGAGGACATGGGTTCGTGCCCCGGACCGGGAAGATCCCACATGCCGCGGAGCGGCTGGGCCCGTGAGCCATGGCCGCTGAGCCTGCGCGTCCGGAGCTTGTGCTCCGCAACGGGAGAGGCCACAACAGTGAGAGACCCGCGTACCACACACAAAAAAAATCAACCATAAAAACTCCAAAAACTCCAACCATAAAAACTCCAATACATATTTACATTTGCTCACAAATCTATGGGTCAGCTGGATGATTCTGCTAATCTGGACTAGGCTCAGAGATCTCAGCTGGGTGTGGTCATAGAGTGAAATCAACTGGCAGGTCAGAGAAGAGCTGGCTTTTCTAGACTGGCCTCAGCTGTACTTTGCCTCTCATCCTCCAGCAGCCTAGCCCTACTGTATCTCCAAAAGAGATAGCAGAAGAATGCAAGGCTTCCTTAAGAGGTAGGTTCAAAAGTGGCATGATATCACTTCCCCCTCTTTCTATTGGCCAAAACAAGTGATAAGGCCAGTCCAGCTGCAAGAGGTAAAGACACAGACTCCACTTTTGATTGAAGGAGCTAGATACAAGATGAGGTACAGCCATTTTTCAATCAATCTAGCATAGGTCTCAATTACTCTTTTTTTGTTTGTTCACTCGATACTGCCTGCCTCACCCTAGCTTTGTAAATCATTTAACTCCTCTAATTAAGAACTTTATCAGCTCCAAAACCTCGGGCAAATGTGGTTAAAGCCTGTTAATACAAACACAGTCCAAACACATCATCTTTTATGAGTTCATATAATTGCTTGCTAGTTAATATCACTAAAATTGTTTTTTTAAAGGGACTTCCCTAGAGCCTCATTTGCCAGCTAGAACAGTCAGACCCAATTGTAACTGCTCTCCTTAATGATATGCCTTGTTCACTCAACAAATATTTAGTTATCATTTCCTGAGTGCCAGGCCCTGTCCCAAAGGTTAGTGATACAGTGATGAACAAGACAGTCTAGATCCCTGCTCTAATAGAGCTTACATTGTACAAAGGAAAAACATATAAGCAAGCAAGCAAGCAAGCAATTAATAAAGAAAATAATTTCAGCTAGTGACAGGAGGAGAACAAACACAGTGGTGGGACAGAGAATGATTGGACTGGGGAAGCTACTTTAGATTTGATTTGTTCAGCAGGGAAGACCTCTCAGGACCAAGACCTGAATGGCAAGTAGGAGCCAGCCATGTGAGGATTTGGGGAGAGAGTGGCCCAGGCAGAGAACAAGAGCAAAGGCCCTGAGGCAGGGATGGGTTTGCTGTGTCTAGGAACAAAAGAGGTATGAAGAGAAGTCCTTCCACCAAACATACCAGGATCAGGGGTGTGCAACTTCTAGAGCCCCCATTTGGAAATAAACAAGAACATGTACCAAAGCACAGGCACATGTAGTCCCCAACTTTTCTCCCTTCTCCCCCAACTCCAACTTCATGTCCAAAAGGGAGGCTTATTTGGGGGGAAGAGAGCAATTCACATTTTAATTTTTGATAGACATTTACATTTGATACACCCAGTTTTTAAAATAATGACTTTATTAAGACATAACTCATAGACCATAAAATTCACCCCCCTTTAAAAATTCAGTGGTTTTAGTATATTCACAGTTGCACAACCATCACCACTGTCTAATTTTCATCACCTCCAAAAAGAAACCCTGAGTTTATCAAGATTATAGGATACAAGATCAATATACAGAAATCAATTGTATTTCTATACACTGGCAGTGCACGATTCAAACACGAGATTAAGAAAATAATTCTATTTACAATAGCATCAAAAATAATAATAGAGTACTTAAGAAAAAATTTAAGAAATTAAATATGACTTGTACATTGAAAACTACAAAACATCCTTGAAAGAACTTAAAGAGAACCTAAATATATGAAAAGACATCCTGTGTTCACAGATTGAAAGACTTAATATTATTAAGATGGTATAGTAGACAGAATAATGGCCCCCCCAAAATGCTCATGTTCTAATATTCAGAACCTGTGAATATGTTACTTTACATGGCAAAAGAGATTTTGCAGATGTGATAAAATTATGGAGATTATCCTGGATTATCTGTGTGGGTATAATGTAATCACAAGGGTCCTTATAAGAGGGAGGCAAGAGAGTCAAAGATAGGAGGAGGTGTGATGAGGGAAGCAGAGGTTGGAGTAATACATTTGAAGATGGGGGAAGGGGCCATGACTTAAGGAATGCAGGCCACGTCTAGAAGTTGGAAAAGGCAAAGAAATGGATCCTCCCCTGGATTCTCCAGAAGGAATACAGCCCTGCTGATATCTTGATTTTAGCCACATAAGACTCATTTTAGAATTGACATCCAGAACTGAAGATAATAAATTTGTATTGTTCTAAACCACTAAGACTGTGATAATTTGTTACAGCAGCAATATAAACTAAAAGACGTGGTAATACTCCCTTAACTGATTTATAGATTCAACACAATCCCTATGAAAGTCCCAGCTGACTTTCTTCCAAAAATTGATAAACTGATCCTAAAATTCATCTGGAAATGCAAGGGACCCAGAATAGGAAAAAAATCATGAAAAAAAAAAAGAACAAAGCTGGAGGTCTTACACTTTCTGATGTCAAAACTAACTACAAAGCGACAATATTCAAAACCCTGGCACTGACATAAGGAAAGACATACAGATCAATGGAACAGAATTGAGAGTTCAGAAATAAACACTTACATTTATGGTCAATTGATTTTTGACAAGAGTAGCAAGACAATTCAATGGAACAAGGATATTCTTTTCAACAAATGGTGCTGGGACACTTGGGTATCCACATGAAAAAGAATGAAGTTGTTGTACCCCTACCTCACAACATATAAAAATAATTAACTCTAAATAGAACACAGATCTAAATAAAAGAGCCAAATCTATAAAACTCTTAGAAGAAAACATAGGTGTAAATCTTTGTGACCTTAGATTAGGTAATAGTTTCTTAGATATGATAGCAAAAGCACAAGTAAAAAAAGAAAAAAATAGGTAAATTGGACTTCATCAAAATTAAAACTTCTGTGTTTTTAAAGGACATTATCAAGGAAGTGAAAATACAATACACAAAACTGGAGAAAATGTTTGTAAATCATATATCCAGTAAGAGTCTAGTATCTAAACTAGGTAAAGAATTCTTACAAAACAAAGATAAAAAGAAAAATATCCCCATTTAAAAATAGGCATTTTTAAAATTGAATAGCTGTTTCTCCAAAGAAATATGCAAATGGCCAATAAGCATGTGAAAAGATGTTCAACAACATTAGCCATCAGGGAAACGCAAATCAAAACTACAATGAGATATCACTTCATGTCCACTAGGATGGCTATAATAAATTTTTTTTAACGAAAATAACGAGAGTTGGCAAGGATGGAGAGAAATTAGAACCTTGTACATTGCTAGTAGGAATGTAAAATATTTAGTTCCTGCTATTGAGCTACAGTAGAAAACAGTTTAGAAAGAAATGTTAAACACAGAGTTACCTCATACTCAGCACTTCCATTCCTAGGTCATACCCAAGAGAATTTAACACATATATCCACACAAAAACTTGTACACTAATATTCATAGCAGTGTTATTCATGATAGCTAAAAAGCGGAAACAATCAAAATGTATATCAAGTGTAAACAAATAAATTAAGCATGGTATATATCCATACGATGGAATATTATTCAGCCATAAAAAGACTGAAGTATTCATTCATGCTACCACATAGATGAACCTTGAAAGCATTACGCTAAGTGAAAGAAGATAAAGAGACCACATGCAATACAGTTCCATTTATATGAAATGTCCAGAATAGGCAAATTTATAGAGACAGAGAGTAGATTAGGGGTTGCCAAGGGCTGGGAGGAGTAGAGAATGAGCAGTAACTGCTATGGTTTGAGATTTCTTTGGGTGATGATGACAATGTTCTGCAACTAGAAAATAGTGGTGGTTGCACAACTCTGTGAACATATTAAAATTCACTGAATTGTGCACATTAAAGGGTGAATTTTATGGCATGTGAGTTATCTGAAAATAAATGAATATGGAAATAAATTAATGAATTTAATATATGTATGCCTGTATGTGCCCAGGTGTGGAATTGCTGGGTCATATTGTGTCTCTAGGTTTAACTTTTTAAGGAACTGTCAAATGGCTTTTCAAAGTGGCTGCTCCATTTTATAGTCCCACCGGCAATGTATCAGAGTTCCTATTTCTGCACATCCAAAGGCCCATTTTTAGGAGATCCTAGCAGACAAATCTGCAACAAAGTCCATAGGGAACAAATGGAAAATGCTGACGTTTTTGCGGTCTTAGGAGCATGTGTATGTGCTTGTTTGCAGGTTTCAGAGAAAGTCCATTGATGGAAGCTTTGGTTCCAGTGACGGTAAGAAAAATCCCTGGTTTCAATTCAAACTGATGTCAAGTATGTGGCAACATTCCATTTGGTACTTTTGTCTCTCTGACTTTTGTGATTTCCCAAACCCTCTATTGATTCCTATCCCCCCACAGACACACACAGAGTGGTCCAATTTGCAGTCTTCCTGCAGAAAGCAGAGCCAGTGAGAACCAATTTACACACTTGATAATTACTGAGATATGGAGCTCACACGAAGAGCCTTTGTTCGGAGAGTTCCTCATAGTTGTCCACGGCCCATTTGTCAGCAATTCATCTTTTTAAGGAGTTTAATGTTTTCTAGGACATAAACTGTTCATATCTGTCTTATCACAGAGCTGACTTGCGAACAATGGTAAGAATTTATTGTGTCAAATCTAATACAGAGCTTACTTTTCCCCAATTGAGATAGAGGGTTTTTTTGTTCAAGGATCTAGAAAACTGAAGTATTTGAGACCAGCAAGTATAAGAGAGTATTATAACTTTGGGAAATCCAGAGTAATTGATTATCCAACCATTGTAATATGCCCTTTCTTCCACTCTGAGGATTTGAACAAAGGAATTTAGTTGCTTGATCTTTTTATTAAATCTTTTAAAAAAAATTAAATGTCCTTATTTTTAAAACTTGAGATATAATTGACATGTAACATTGTATAAGTTTTGGGTGTACAACACGATTCTATATTTGTATATATTGCAAAGTGCTCACCACTAGAAATCTAATTAACATCTATCACCACACATAGTTATACTTTTTTTTCTTGTGATGAGAACTTTTTTTTTTTTTTTGGGGGGGGTACGCGGGCCTCTCACTGTTGTGGCCTCTCCCGTTGCGGAGCACAGGCTCCGGACGCGCAGGCTCAGCGGCCATGGCTCACGGGCACAGCCGCTCCGCGGCATGTGGGATCTTCCCGGACCTGGGCACGAACCCGTGTCCCCTGCATCGGCAGGCGGACTCTCAACCACTGCGCCACCAGGGAAGCCCGTGATGAGAACTTTTAAGATCATTCTTTTAGCAATTCTCAAATATACAATACAGTATTATTAACTCTAGTCACCATGTTGTACATTACATCCCCAGGACTTACTTATATTTTATAACTGGAAGTTTGCACCTTTTGTAAGTGTCCTATTTTTGGAAAAGCCTCAATCAGCATGAGTTACTCAGTGCTCACAAGCTATTTGGCATAGAATGATCATTTGGAAAAGGAATGATGGAGTGAGACTTGATTTTTAAGTCACATGCAGCAGATTTTTTTTTCTAATTTTTATTGGAGTGTAGTTGTTTTACAATGTTGTGTTAGTTTCTACTGTACAGCAAGTGAATCAGCTATACATATACATATATCCCCTCTTGTTTTGGATCTCCTTCATATTTAGGTCACCGCAGAGGACTGAGTAGAGTTCCCTGTGCTGTACAGTAGGTATGCAGCAGATGTCTAGTTCTGTGTTTTCTACAGTTAAGTTAGAAAGACACAAAGCGACTCCCTACCCCACCCAGCAGGAGTATCTCTCCCTCTGCTGGAGGTCTGCTTCTCCTGCCTTCCTTTGACTTTTGTCTTCCTTAATGTCAACGTGTCTATTTTTCCAGGCATCCAGGCAATTGGTTTTAATAACATTCAACAGCCAATGTAAAGGAATATAAAAGAACACCTGCCCTAGTGTCTTTAAAATGCTAAGTACTACTTTCTATTTTATTCATAAAATGTTAAAATGAAATGTCTTCTCTCTGGATCTCGGCCTTTTCTCTCTGATGCTCTCCAGGTTTTGCTCTTATTTAGGCTTAGTCGAACTTAGAAAGCCCGATTGGTTGGATCCGATAGGTGCTCTGTGAATGGATTCTCTGTTATTTTTATTGTATGAGTGAAGTCATTTTATCACTGCAATGACAATTAAAGGAACTTCGTATTCAGAAGGGTCTCCTGAACAGTGAAGCACTGGTAGACAGAGCTGGGACTTGAGCCAAATCACTGTCCAAGATCAAGATGGCTCTGAAAATTAGCTAAGAGCTAGAGGCACCCTTCAGATAACAAGCAGAAATGAATGAGTGAGCAAAAAAATAAATAAAGATGCATCCGTTGGATTCATGTGGCTGCAGGTAACAGCAAAGTTTATCTCAAACATACCTAAACAATAAAGAGTGTCTCCTCTCCCTGGAAGCTGAGCAGAAGGGTGGGCTTCAGGATTCACTGAGTCCAGTGGCTCTGGTCCTTTTTCCTGCCATTCCCTTGACTCTGCTTTGCCCCCAAAGCTGGTAGTGAGATGGGTCCTCACCTGACAATGTCCAGAAGGAAGGACTGTTTCAGAAGCACCTAGCAACTTCTCTCATGTTTCATTGGCCTAGAGAGGATCATATACTTGTTGCTAAACCAGTCACTGCAAAGGAATCTATTTACTTACAGATCAATCAAGCCTGCTTATAGAATTAGGGTGAGGTCATCTTTTTCTAGGACCAGCGTTTCTCAAACTCAACATTATGGACATTACAGCCAGAATCATTCTTTGTTGTTGGGAGCTGCCCTGTACATTATAGGATGTTTAACCACATCCTTCACCTCAACCTACTAGAATTCAGTAATACACTCCCTCCCTGTGACAACTAAAGTTATGCCCAGACATTGTCAAACATCCTCTTGGGAGCAAAATGTTCCCACCACCCCTACCCCCAACCGAGAATCACTGACTTAAAAATATGGGCTTCCAGGCACAGGTGAGGGAGGATACCCCAACAAAATCCCAGCTTAGTTAAGAAGTAGGAAATAGGAATGTTCACCACAAAGGGCTTTGAAATCAGGAGGAAGTAAGGAACCTGTGTAATGCTGAGAGGCTATGGGGGAAGATGGCACATGACCACTGGTGAGACAAGACCTAGGTTCTTCAAACAAGAGCAGAGAAGATAAGCTCTACCCTAGGGAGGAACCAGTTAGTGACTCTTAATCACATGACACAGAGCATGGAGAAACCAGCCTGTAGCAAGAGACAGAGGCAAGTGAGGGACCTTATCTGAAAGCTAATGTGAAAGATTCAGGGGAGGAACCTTTAGAGAGGAGCAAGGATACAGAAATGTCTTTGTCTCCCAAGGGCCAGTATCAGTGTGCCCAAGGGGGCTACAAGAAGTTTAATGGAGCTTAGAGCTACAAGAAATGCCCTGGGGGCTAGTGCCTAGAAGAAATGCTAGGAGCAGCGTTTGAGATAGGGGACCCCACTAGATTTGGCATGTTGTCTGCCGCAATCAACGTGGAGCTAGATATCTGAGGAACCTGGCCTGATGCTTTCACCCTAGGTATGCCTGAGATGGAGGAAATGGAGCCAGGTCCCTACAACTTGCTAAATTGTTGGCAGCTCTGTTTTAGTTATGTAATGATAGGAAGGCTGCATTTGGAAAATCTGTCGGCTCCCCTGCATGTGTTTTTCTTTGATTTGCCTGCAGTTTTTAAAGTTGTGTTTGAAAAATGTTGACATTGGCTCCAACTAAACTAAAAAGCAAAGGAAGTTCTTTCATACTTCATGGGATAAAGAAGGAGATAAGAGGCTGGAGCCCAGGTGAAATGGAAATAGTGTTGGTAAAGAGCAGCTTCAGGCTGTGAAGGGACTTTACTACTGCGGTGTGACTGGATGGACACTGTATTCTCTATTCCTCACTTAGCACTTAGGACAGGGGCCTCTGTGGTAATCTAAAGGGCACTGGGCAAGGCTCTGTGTTCTAAAAACACGTCCTCCAGTGGCTCTATCAGTGGAAAAAACCCACATTTCACAACATTGTTAAAGAGCCTATACAGAAATTCAGTTACCACCTTGAAAGAGAGACAGATGAAACGTGACTCACAGGCCTCTGGGACCACATGAGCTGTCACCATGAACCTGGGTGCAGCCTAAGAGGAGGGTACTTTCTCAAGTGAGGGAGCTTGGTGAACTTGCCAAGTTTGCAGATTTAAGAACCAAATGGCCAATCAGATCCTTCCCTGGATGGAGCGATTACTGAATCAGCCTCCCAGCAAAGAACAGGGCCCGGGAGGGATAAGACAAGCAGCGTGCTGAGTCCAGAGGGGTCAGGGAGCACAGGCCATCCTCAGGCTCTGTGGCAACAGGTCTCAGACTCTAGTCCTGACTCTCTACTCTGCTTTCTCCCAGCTTTGCCTGCCCGGTTTTTTCTTCTAGAGGAATTTTACTTTTACGTCCTTCTGCAAAGATTAGTGGTTTTCTTCATTTTCTCCTCAACTTTTGAGATACAGCATGACACTCGTTGGGATAGGTAGCCAACTGGCATAAAAATGAAATCTCATGTCAGCTGGTTCACAGCGTTACTGACTCCCTCTTCCGCTTCCAACCTCCTGAGTCTGGAGACGGAAGCGGGCAGGACAATTATAAATGTGACGTCCCTGAAAGAGCCAAGCATGCTCAAAATGAAATGAAGTTTTTCTCCTCACATGGAGCAATTAATATAAAAGGCAAGCATGCAAGCATATCCTATTCTAAGTTAGTAAAGCAGACAGATGGCAAAGGGCCCGCACGCAGAGAAAAACATACCAGAACAAGTCTCCCCATTAAGATGAGCTCATTCATAACTTTATATGTTTGCTTATTCCCAGCCAGAACATCTTGGTCTGTCCTATAAACTGATATTTTGTGTTTAATTCTGCTTTCTAAATGCCATACAGTTAAATAGAAATATGGCTTGCCTTCTGGGCGCATCCATCATGTTTGAAGTTTGGGAGGTAATGCTTCGGTTTTTGCATTCTAAGAAGGTCTTAGACATTAGAAATGTTAACAGAATACCGTTATCCCGTGTTGACCAGTCTCCTATTTAATTGTGCATATAGAAGTGCACAGATTTGTTTTTGTTTTGTTTTGTTTTTGTGGTACGCGGGCCTCTCACCGTTGTGGCCTCTCCCGTTGCGGAGCACAGGCTCCGGACGCGCAGGCTCAGTGGCCATTGCTCACGGGCCCAGCCGCTCTGTGACATGTGGGATCTTCCCAGACCGGGGCACGAACCCGTGTCCCCTGCATCGGCAGGCGGACTCTCAACCACTGCGCCACCAGGGAAGCCCAGAAGTGCACAGATTTGAAACAAGTGCACTGCTCATGAAAATCTCGATGCTCTTGTCCATCACAGAACCATTGTTGTTGTGGTTGCCTCGGGGTGAAAAGAACTAGCGACTACATGGAAACCAGGTCCTGCTCGATTGCGAGGCAGAGTGCAGAAATCATCGAAGTCTGAACAAACCTACACAGCTGGCTTTTTCTTTTTAGTGAAGTTGTCGCCTAACAAAACAGTGATTGTTTTTGTTTGCTCACTTGCTTTGACGTTAGTTTTTGCATTTTTTTCTCTTTTGATCACACACACGAAAACCCTCTGCCTCCTACAGACCGTTTCAACCCCCCGCTGCAGAGGAACTCAAGCGCTCTCCGCCCCACGTGTCCACTTCCCATGCCAGGGGGCTTCCCAGGAACAGAAAATGCCCAGAATTCTGGGGCTTATGATTTTAGTATCATTCTTCGCTTACTATTTGCACATGTAATATTTGGAAAAGTTTGAGGCGCGTCCTCTTAAAGAATGTTTTTCTCTCACTGCCAACAACCATTTGGCCACAGACATGCCTATTCTACCTCTGAACTATCCCCCAAATAACCCATATTCCTGCACATCCTTAGTTCACGTTGTCATTATTTTTTGCTCCAAGGAGTGCAGTAATTTCCAACCTGTCAGGGCTCATCCCGTCTACAGTTAGGGTACTGTTAACGACTGTGACAAATAAACCTCCGAATTATAGCCCCTTAATCACAGGAGTTTATTTCCGGTGTTTATGTTCAGCGGTGGCCTTCCTCACAGTGATTCCAGGACCCATGCGCCTTTGTTCTTGTGATTCTGCAACACTGCCAGGCAGGAATCGGCAACGTTTTCTCTGTAAAGTGCCAAATGGTAAATGTTTTAGGCTCTGCGGGCCACGTAGTCTCTGTTGCAACTGCTCCACTCTGCCATTGTAGCCAAAAGCAGCCATAGACATACTCAATGAGTGGCTGTGTTTCAGTAGAACGTCATATGTAAACACTGAAATTTATAATTTTACCTGCCATAAAATACTCTTCGTCTTCTGATTTTTCCCTAACCATTAAAAAGATTTAAAACCACTTTTAGTTTAAGGGCCATACAAAAACGGGTGGCAGGCTAGATCTGGTCTGCAGACCATAAAATTGGCCTGCAGGTTCCTACATTAGAGTGAAAAGAAAATCAAACTATTTAGAGTTATGTTCTTTCACTTTGGCAACGGGACATAAAGCGTTTGCCTCTTTGCTTTTCTTTTTAACAGGCTCTGGAAATACGTCGGTGTCACATCCCATTGCTGCCAGCACCCCTGAAGAAAGCAATTATGGGGCAATAGGTATTTCCTACGATGAGTCCATTCATGGAAGTGTTTCCTGATTCTCCAAAGAATAGGATACAAGGAGCCCTCCAGCCACTAATAACTGTGAGAGTGGGCAAGGCCGTCATCGTATAAGATTATCTTTTATTTATAAGATGAATTGGCTCGATGATCTGGAAGGTTCCTTCCAGCTCTAATTTTCTCTGGTTCTATTGATCCGTTTCTTGGGTCTACTAGCCACACTTGAGCAGAATTTTCTACGGTTGCCATCAACTCCCTTGGGGATTTTTTCGTACCCAGCCTGAGTTTAGGGCGTGAAAGATGCGTCAAGAGTCTGACATCAGGGAGCCCGACATCAACTGACCCGTTGTTTCATTCTCAGGTTTCAGTGGAGTAAGGGCGATCAGAAGACTGAGGCTGTGCAGCAGGTGAACACGGCTGAAGCCTAACGATCTTCCATTTGGGCTATAACTGCATAAACGAACCTGCTCACTGCCACCCAGTCATTCACATGGCAACCCCCAGGGCTCGTTCAGTGGCCTGAAGGGTCAGAATTCTGATCCTTGTCTTGTTAGAGTCCGCGTGCATTGACGCTTCCACACACTTCCATGATGCTTGCGGGCCTATGAATGGTGCACCTTAAGCTGTCAGCATAGAGGGGCTGGGAATCCTGTATGCCTGCCCTGTTATTCTGTAACTTTGAGAAGCATGTGGGCTCAGTGCTGGAGACTTATTTCTGGCTCTGCAAGAACAGGGTTCTGTTATTTTTTTTAACCATCTGAATAGAAGAAATAAAGCAGAAGGTAGGCTCTGCTCATGTGCTCAGTAGGCTGTGCAAATTCCCATCTGCTCTGGGAAACATTCACAGGATTCTTCTTCCTGAGAATGTTGTTTCCATTATATAATCATAGATATGGCATGTGGGGGATTTCGGTGTACAAATACTTTATCCACGAGAAATGTATAGCTGCTGGACATGTGGGTACTTACACGTACATGTGGTAGATGCTATACATAATTACGTGCATGTGTATGTTTATACATTTATGCTCATATTTTAAAATATGAAACATGAAATATAAGCATAATATTATTTTTGCAGCCAAATAGTTAACAGAGCAGATGCCTTTATATTATGTATTCAGCCCTGGAAAGAGATGATTTAAATATAAAAATAGGAGGAGAGGAAACTTAGAGGTCCATTGAGGAGGAATTAGAGAAAGAACACGTGCTATGGGTAAGGAGTTGGTTTTTACCAACACAGCGTTTTCAGGAATGAGTCAGCACTGTGCTTTTTGCAGAGAAAGATGGACTCGGTGGGTTCTTCTCGGCTTGGGAAGGCAGGTGAGTCTCCTCTGTTTCAGATGAGTCAAGCTCCAGTCCTGGCAGGCAAATGTCCTCCTCCGACGGCAGACAGCCATGCCAGTCAGACACGGACAGCTCCGTGGAGGAAAGTGACTTCGACACCATGCCAGACATTGAGAGCGATAAGAACGTCATCCGGACCAAGGTACTTCTGCCGGGTGGTGCTCTTCGAGAGGGCGAAAAGTCCAGGAGCCAAATACAACTTCAGCAATGCCTCAATTTCCTTTATATATATATTTTTTCTTCAGGGGGAGTCAAATTTCTCAGTGAGCTTTTTATTTATTTATTTATTTTAAACACCTTTATTGGGGTATAATTGCTTTAAATGGTGTGCTAGTTTCTGCTGTATGACAAAGTGAATCAGCTGTATATAAACATATATCCCCATGTTTCCTCCCTCCCGCGTCTCCCTCCCACCCTCCCTATCCCACCCCTCTAGGTGGTCACAAAGCACCGAGCTGATCTCCCTGTGCTACGCAGATGCTTCCCACTAGCTATCTATTTTACGTTTGGTAGTGTATATATGTTCAGGGGGCTTTTTAGATAAAACTTAGCTACGTACTAAAAGCAATAGTTGGTTGGTTAACACTTCGTTCCGGAGGGAGAAAGTGAGAGCAGTACAGAAAACAGGGCGCTAAAACGCTCTCAGGGTCTGAAGGGGCTGACCATGGACAAAAGTGAGGAAGGGATCCAACCAAATGGGAGAAAAGAGTCATTTGAAGGGTGTACTTGGAAAAACCCCCTGGTGTATACATAAAACCCTTCAGGAGTAAAAGATCATTTCTTTCTGGCTTGTATGTATCACATTGTGTTGTATCCAGTAAGGGACACAAAGGTGAATCGTACAGTTTCAATCTCGTAATTCAAGAATCACACAATGGGCATCTCTGAAAACTGGGAAAGCAATTCTTGAGATTTAAGAAGCATTCAAGACTCCCAATAGGTTTCCCACATCAGCCAATTTCCCTAAAGCCAAGGGAAATACTAAGATTTTTAAAGGCATCCTGGGAAAAGCAAAATTAAAGTCTTGTTAAACAATTTTAATCCCTAGTGAGTGATTGAACTGAAATGTGTAAAGCTCTCCTTTATATTTTATGCAAGAAATCCAAGTACAGTTTTGCACTCTCTTTTTATTTGGCATCCCAGATGTTCCTTTACCTGTCAGATCTGTCCAGGAAGGACCGGAGAATTGTCAGCAAAAAATATAAGATTTATTTTTGGTGAGTAGATGACCAGGAGGGCTATGGTTCTCTTTAGTAAAATTAAAGTTTTCCTTGTAAAAGCCACAATCACTTATGAGATTCATATAAGTGAATCAAATCACAGGTTTCAGTGTTTAATGAGGCACAGGTATAGGTGTTTAAAGGATTCATGCCACATTCGATAGGAAAGACAAAAATGAACTACCAAAGGCAACCAGCCCTAAATTAAATAAATACAAAGTATTAAATAAGAACGGTAGTGGAATCCCATAGGGAGACACTAAATCCTTTTCTAGGAAAATACAGTAACGATAACATTAATGTCACCACCTTCCCTCTTCTCCTCACCAGGACTTGCTCTTGCAAGAGCCAGTGATTAAAGGGATGAGATGCCTAGAGCATCTCATAGTAGCTAGAAACCTCCCTGAGTGAAGATGATACCATCAGCCAATGATAAATAGACCTGCGATGGTCAGACACAGATGCAGTCTTCCTACAAGCAGAGAGTCTGAGGGCCTGGCAGGGTCCCCTCCTTCCTCTCAGAAATCCCCAGCTGACACTTGTGATAGCCCTTCCCATTCTTTTTTCTGGAAGGATACCCTTTTACTGGGATACAGATATTAGAGGAAAACAAGGGCCAGTGGGGACCACATGGAATTCCATACTAGGACCATCATTTTGGAACTAAGAGATATCTAAAAGAGCCACATCCCTTTGTGAGATCCATCACCCATTACCTACTCTCAGATCACTTTTTTTTTTAATTTTTAAGTCACCAACTTATTTTTATTTTTTTAATTTATTTATTTTTGGTCGCGTTGGGTCTTTGTTGCTGTGTGCAGGCTTTCTCTAGTTGCGTCGAGCAGGAGCTACTCTTCACTGCGGTGTGCAGGTTTCTCACCGTGGTGGGCTTCTCTTGTTGCGGAGCACAGGCTCTAGGCTCACGGGCTTCAGTAGTTGTGGCACGCGGGCTCAGCAGTTGTGGATCGCGAGCTCTAGAGCACAAGCTCAGTGGTTGTGGTGCACGGGCTTAGTTGCTCTTCAGCATGTGGGATCTTCCCGGACCAGGGATCAAACCTGTGTCCCTTGCATTGGCAGGCGAATTCTTAACCACTGCACCCCCAGGGAAGTCCCTCTCTGATCACGTTTAATCTAACAATATCCTAAATAGATAGGCCCTCATTAATAATTGGTTAAACCAGAAGCAAGTATTATTTACACTGTTTTACAAGTAACTGTATGAGAGGAAGATTGGAGAAACAGGAACCACATAATCAGTTTCTAATCGCATTTGTGAGTTAACTAGGGAGTTATGGGGTGGAAAGATTCTTTTTTTAAAAAAAAAAAAGGGCAAAGTTTCCATGGTTATTTTGGAAATAACCATTTCTGATTCTTTGCCTGCGTAGGAACATCATTACCATTGCTGTGTTTTATGCGCTGCCTGTGATCCAGCTGGTTATCACCTACCAGACAGTAAGTGCTGCCCCGAACTCCAAAATCCCACCTTTCATACTTCAGGGAAAGATATTTGCTGCGAATTACAGAGAAAGGTATAACTTGAGCTCCGTCCAAGAATTAATTCCCCATTTGGGTTCCCACTGGATTTCTCCACTGGTTCGTCTTTGACCTTTAAATCTAGTTCCCAATTGTTTTATCACAGACCTCTTGTATTATTTTGACTACCAATCTGAAATTATTACCTTGCGCTCATTTAGTCTTGGTATCTATCAACTATGTCTATTTTTTACCAGTCTGCACTTTTGATCATCATGGGATGATGGGTAAAGTTCCAGACCTAAACAAAGAAACCTGATGTCTAATTTAGCCTGTGTCCTGTCATTGAGGGTAAATATGTTTTGTAAAAGTAAAAACAGCTTCACAGTACTAATGAAATATTAAAAGAAAATATAAAATAAATAAAAAAACAAACAAAAATAATAATTAAAATAGCTTGAGAATCCCCACTGCACCTTCACAGAACCCTAGGGTCCAGGTCACTTAAGTGATCCTGTCTGGGATCTATTACACATAAAAAGCCCATTTAGAATAGCACCAGGCTAAAGGTGTTTCTAATGCAATGGTTCTCAAACTTTGCATTAAAATCATCTGGGGGACTTTTAAAAATCCCAGTGTCCAAGCTGTACCCCACACCAGTTAGATCAGAGTGGAATCAGAATCAGGCATGAGTTTTTTTTTTTTTTTTTTTAGATGTTGGGGGTAGGAGTTTATTAATTAATTAATTTATTTTTGCTGTGTTGGGTCTTCGTTTCTGTGCGAGGGCTTTCTCTAGTTGCGGCAAGCGGGGGCCACTCTTCATCACGGTGCGTGGGCCTCTCACTATCGCGGCCTCTCCTGTTGCAGAGCACAGGCTCCAGACACGCAGGCTCAGTAGTTGTGGCTCACGGGGCTGGTCGCTCCGCGGCATGTGGGATCCTCCCAGACCAGGGCTCGAACCCGTGTCCCCTGCACTGGCAGGCAGATTCTCAACCACTGCGCCACCAGGGCAGCCCCAGGCATCAGTATTGATGAAACTCCCAGTGATTCCAGTGTACAGCCAAGTTTGAGAGCCAGGAGTTTAATAATATTTTACCAATTCCATACTTAATACGTGATGAGGACTTTATAAAGCTTCAGCACCACCATTCATAATCTAAATATTCTCTGAATACTTTGGTGCTGTCAGAAGATACAGCTGTGCTGTGATCTAGGAAGGTTCTTAACGATAGCGATAGTGATAACTATGGACAACCGGTCACACATCTCCTTATGTCCACCTGCCCTGTGGTTACCATTTCCACACAGAGGATGGAACAGCTCCTTACCCTCCCAGGATTCATCTAGAAAATAGGATGTACCATGACCGTCCTAATAGGCAGGTCCCAATGTTAGCATCCTCTCAAAATCCTTTTATAATGAGAACAAAGGAAACATACTCAGTTGCATTCTGCCGTGAGGCCACATAATGAGGGACACGGAATATTTCAATTCAAAGCAAGATGGCAGCATTGAAAGGAAATGTGTCTATACTGTGTAAAGGCTGAAGATAATGACCCATCCCCTGCTGAGAAGGGGCGCTGGTTACACTGTAAATCACTGACAGTTGATCGCTGTGAACACTGTCCACTTTTTGTGATTTCAGGCTCAGGGGGCGGAGGAAAACAGCATCTCCTCTTTTCACTCTTGGTTTTACAGATAGTCAATGTCACTGGTAACCAGGACATCTGCTACTACAACTTCCTCTGCGCTCACCCCTGGGGTGTCCTGAGGTAAGCCCAGTCCTCTGAGGCAATGAGAGATGCCTTTCTGTGTAATGTGACGATTTCAGTTTTTAAAAATACTAGAAACAATTGTGGAAAAGCACCCCAATCAAGGGTAAAGAGGAATGAAATCAGGAAGTTGAGATCAGGTATGCCTCTTCCATTCCTGTATGGGGCCCTCAGGAAACAGTCCTGAGGAGAAGGCAGAGATATGTTTGAAAATACCAGGTCCCTAGCTGTGATGACCCTCATCCATGGGCATGAGCTACTAGTACATTCAAGCCGTTAAACAACCTCATGAGATAGATAGGATTATTATTACCCCCGTTTTTAGATGAAGATGTTAAGGCTCAGTTAGAAAGGTAAGGACTTGCGGAAGGTCCCTCAGCTTGTTAGTGGTGTTGAGACTCACACCGGGGCCTGCTGCCTCCAAGGCCATGCTCCAGCCTCCAGAACATGGCGAAGTGGAGAGAGCATTTGCCTGGGAGTTGCGAGCCTGGCTTCTCGATCCAGAACTGAACTAGTTTCAGTTTCCTTAAATAAATCTGTTGGCTGTGACCAGTTGACACTTATCCTGAAATTCATGGTTACAGAGCTGAGTATGGACACATAACGTGGGTCCGTCCATCTATGTGAATTCACTCTCACATTGTAGCTGAAACGCTTGGCCCAACTGCCCATCTGTGGAGCGACTCTCTTTCCTAGGATTCATTCCCCGCCAGCGCCATCAGCACAAGGGAGGATTGAGTGGGTGTTAGGGAAGCTAAGCAGGCATCCCTGAGAGGAAACGGACACATTATCACAGGCTAAGCATCCTAACGTGGCATTAGGTTAAAGATGCTTTCTGATGATCTCGGTCCTGAAATCTTATGGAAAGGTTAGCAGTGGAAAACACTGAATGCGGATTTCACTCGCTCATCCATGCCTTCATTCAGTCTCTAAAGCTCTTTGATACCCTGACTCTCTCATGGTCTCTCTGTCATCCCCTTAGTGCCTTCAACAACATTCTCAGTAACCTGGGCCACATGCTCCTGGGCTGCCTCTTCCTACTGATAGTCTTGCGCCGGGACATTCTCCATCGAAGAGCCCTGGAGGCCAAGGACATCTTTGCCATGGTGAGGAGAGGGTGGGATGAGGGAGGTGAGAGCTAGGGAGGGTTATGGTTCCAAACGGGATCTGCAAAGAGGAGGGACATCTGGCTAGACGGTGTGACGATGGATCACATGTAATGGACCACACGAGGCCAGAGCATGGGCGTCCCGGTTCTGTGGCTGAGTCACTAAGGAGTATCTTTCCACTGACCAAGCTTTCTGCTTTTTCAGGAGTATGGGATTCCCAAACACTTCGGTCTCTTCTATGCTATGGGCATCGCACTGATGACGGAAGGGGTGCTCAGTGCTTGTTACCATGTCTGCCCTAATTACTCCAACTTCCAATTCGGTAATTAGAATTTACATCAGCTACACAGATTTGAGTTATAGGAGTCTTATCCTGGGACCCTCTCAGAAATGTCAAGGTCATGCTTGCAAGAATTAAATGACATTTTACATGAAGTGATCTGAGGGCACCTCACCACAGGGCATGGTTTCCCCACATTGTACCGTTTTTTCCTCTCTGACCACCATTTGTAGACTACAAAAGAGTGAACACTGGATACTGATCTCATGGCTAGATCTGCAGGTGGGCAATGGGCTAAGTGTCAGGCAGCAGGTCAGGTAGAAACCACCAACAGACATCTAGAAATCTCCCTCAGTGTAGCTTGGCTTAATTTAGCAGTTTGCCTGTTTTGGGTTGAAAGTAATAGAAAACCCAATTCGAATTGGATTAAATAATAGGTACACTCACCAGTGCACCAGCCGAACGTACAGAGGTGGAATGGCCTTGTGGGTAGTTTGTCTGGTGGCTCTGGCTCCGCTTCTCTGTGATCCCCTTGGTTGCACCCAGCCTGCACACTGGTGGTCTCCTCCAGCTGCCTTCCCTCGTGGTGGCAGAAATAGCTACAGCAGGTCTTTGGCTTCCTGTCTCCGCACCATGATGTCTAGAGAAAGCAGCGAGCTGGCTTCCAGGAGCCTTCATTTGAGAGCAGGAAACTTCTTTTCCCTAAACTCCCCAGATAACAGCCCCACACACCTCAACAGCTTACACAGCCCTGAGCTCACTCCAGAATCTTTCTCTGTGTGAGGGTTAGCTCGGGCCAGCATTGCTACACCAGTCACGGTGGCAAAGGAGGTGAGGTTACCTTTAGAACAATGAGACCCTTCCCTGGAACCAGGGGTGCGGTTAGCTTTCCTAAAGCAAGTGGTCTGGGAGGGTGTGCATTTCTGAATAGAAAATGGGGCTGAGATATTTGAGTTGGTATCGAGATGCTGTTAGGATGGAGAAAGGGAATAGCTGATGCTGGAAGAAGGCAATTAACAATGTCCTCCACACTCGAGGATGAGGTTTTTAAAAACAGTTATTTTGTGTTTGTGCTCTAGCCTCTGGCTGTTAACTCACAACACCACAGAAATTCTCCATCACGTTTTAGTTTGTTTAAATTGGAAGATATTTTTAATAGAGGAAAACTATAGAGAATAATATCATTCACCACTCAGAAGGAACAAATGCCAACACTTTAAAATATTTGCCTTAAATCTACTTTAAGAAATAAAACATTGTGTAAAGTTGAGGTCCCATTTTGAACTGTTTTCTAAACTTATCAACTCTCCCCTTCCTTAGAAGCAACAACTGTGATTAATTTTATATTTATCCTTCCAGTTTGTTTTTATAGTTTTTCTTCATTTGTAACAAATTAATATTAATTTATCACACTTCGTTCGGCATCCTTCTTTTTTCATTCAACAATGTTTTCAAGATTTATTGGTATTAAATCAAGGATATCCAGTTCATTCATTTTTAAAGATTGTCATTCTGTAATAAAAATATACCACACTTATCAATTCCTCTATTGAACAACACTTAGAGGTTGCCAATATTCTGCTAGTACAGACAGTGCTGCAATGAATAGCCTCATCTGTGCCTGTTGCGCACATGGGAGAGAGGTTCCCTGGAATACCTAGAAGTAGAATTTTGGGGTCACATGGTCCTGGTTGATGCATCTTCCATTTTACCAAAAACAGCCAACTTTCTCCCCAGAATATTAATTCCCACTCCCACTGGCTGAGTGAGAGTTTCCACTTCCCCCGTATCATCACTAACATGTGTTATTATTAGACATTTACACTTTTGCCAATTTTTTAGTAACATGGGACATTGCATGGCTGTTTTAATTTGCATTTCCTTAACCCCCATGCAGCTAAGCCACATGGAATTTCTAGCTGTCTTCTATCCCTAGGCTAGAAAGCCTTGTATATGAGCAGTAATCAATGTGGTTATGTTTCAGTATACTGAGAAGGACCTCCTGCACCCACATAGGATTCTCTTTATTGTCACACTGCCCTGTTCCCATTAGGGATTCTTTTGTTGTTGTTGGACAGGAGCGTTTATACACACATAGCCCTGCGAGTGGGGATAGGCAATTATTCATCATATCATCTGATACTTTTCTTCTGTGAGCTAGGAATGCCCCCCTTGGAGGGGGTGAGAGGTGGAGTGTGTAGGGTTTACCTAGAATGTGCCTGGAGAGGCTGGTGTGTTGGAGGTCACCACACAGGCTGAGGGCAGCAAATACTCCAAGGCCTGAAGGGAGGGGTTCTCTGAGGCTGAAGAGAGGTCTGTCTGCCACCTACTGGATCTCGATTGTCTCGGCTTCTCCTCAGACACCTCCTTCATGTACATAATCGCCGGCCTCTGCATGCTGAAGCTCTATCAGACCCGCCACCCAGACATCAACGCCAGTGCCTACGCTGCTTACATCTCCTTCGCCCTGGTCATCACGCTCACCGTCCTTGGAGTGGTGCGTCCCTCCCCACAGCCGGCAGCCCTCTTGGGAGGCTTTGTATTTTGTTTTTTTGGACCCCAGGTGAACAGGTTTAACTAATCATAATCCTTGGCTCATGACACACCCTCATCACTGGTCCGTTCACAGCAGTTTAGTTACTGAGCTAGAATTTTTAATAATGTAACAGGCCCCTGGAACACCGGCCCTGGACAGTGTCAATACAAAGCCGGACCTGACTCGGGTGAGACTGGAATAGAGATGCACAGGCTGATGGGAGAGAGACTGACTTGAAAGGACAAAAACCACTTTCTAAATGTGCGTGCACATGCACCAGTCGTCTTCTGTTATTTGAAGAGCGTTAGCTCCCAGCTTTAGACCTACTGCCTCTTCACCTGCTGTTCAGCTGCCTCACCCATTGCTTCCCTTTTCCATTTCTTTCTTTTTCATTCGGCCAGGTAGCCATTCTTTTTCCCGCCCTGGCTGCAGTAAGGTCCCTGTGAGATCAGAGAAGGGAGAAAAACCAAAATTCACACACAGCTAGGTTTTTGACAGCTTATGCATACACGAGAGATGAAACAATTTTAGTAAGTTCTCTGGGGGAAAAAAAAAAAAAAACCCAGATGAAGGTAACTTCCATCTTTACTCCTAGGTGTTTGGGAAAAATGACCTGGGGTTGTTCTGGGTCATCTTCTCTGCAATCCATATTCTGGCTTCTCTGGCCCTCAGCACCCAGATCTACTACATGGGTCGTTTCAAGATAGGTGAGTCACCTGTTACTCTATACTAAACATGTTGATTAACTCACCCTGAGAAAGGACTGTCTTGCCTATCCTAAACGGAAGTGTTACTTGTCACCGTGAATGCTTGCTCTGAATTCTGTGTTTAATAGCATATATTCTCTCCAAGAGCTTCCTCTCCTGTATAAGATAGCAACAATCTACTATCACTAGTTCTGTTTTCAACTGAGACACTAAGCTAGCTCAGAGCTGAGGCGTCCTCCTAACTCCAAGTCCCCAAAGGTTTTCAATTCACCAAACTTTGAAAGTGCGTTTGTAGAACAGTACGATCATCACACCGCTAGTTCCACCGAGAAGAATGTTTTTCAGTTCATAGCACTTAAAAGGAGCATTTCTCTAACCATCCTAAATGGTTAACAAGAATAAATTCTACATTATTTTCAAATTCTGGAGCTGGAAGTTTTGGAGACCGACTTGCCAATCTTAGAGGCAGGACACCTGCCGAACGCCCTCTGACGGCATGAACGTATCACGTTAGATCACCAAGTGTTCCGTGGAAATCAGCTTCTGATCTGCTCTTGGTCAGTCAGCATACATTTGAGCAGGTGCAAGTCATTTTAGAGCATCTAAATTTCACCCATCATTTTAAAGTCCAGGAAGTCAGACTCAAAGATTCATTTGTATATTTCAAGAAAAACCAATATATATATAAACTAGGCCTATCCCTAATATTTGCAGAGCCCAAGGCAAGACTGTAAATAAAAGCCCACTTACCATATGTATAAAAATGTTTAAGTTATAAAGCAGAGTAAAAAAGTATTAAATATATGGAAGAAAGGAAGGAAGAAAGAAGGAAGACCAAGAAGCTGATAAATATACCTTCATTACAACCTACAAGGTACAAGTTCAAATTTAAAATTCTCAGGTGCATGGAAGAGTACTCCAGAACATAGCTATACAGGAGAGCTGGTCCCCAACCCCTGCCCCTCTTTTCTTCTCACCTCTGGCTCTGTCCTGCATCTTAAGGGGTCTCACAGGTATGCATATGGACACCCTTGTCTAACATCCAATTGGCCATTCCTTGCCACTAGAAGTGCATACTCTAGTGGTGCTATCTGCCCTCAGGAAGACAAACCAGGGAAAGGACCTATGCAGGCTCTGAGAGCGGGCTCAAGGACATCAGGACAGGGAATTCTTGGGTCCAGGAATTCAGAATGTGGCCTAGAAGAAGCAGTCCCCTTGCCCTGCAGACTCCTCAGTCATCGGGGAATGAGGGCCTTTAAAATATGGCACCCCTGTTGCCCAGATCTAAGAGCGATTCTACATAAACAAGTGGCTTTAGGACTAGAAGACCAAATAAAACAATCTCTCATTTTGGCAGTTCAGTTTTTCCTTTTGGCATGGTCAGTAGATTAACCCTTGGTGTTAACATAGCCGGTATACCTCCAACTCCCTCCCCCAGTGGAAGCATCAATAGCTGGTTGGGTAGAACATTTGGTACAGCACTCTGTTCATGCTCCATCCTCCACACTCAAAGGTGAATGAAGTCATACAAACTAAACTCTCAAAAGGAACATAAGTTAGGCACTGTTCCTCTGGGTTTTGCAAGTTGGAAAAATAAACTTGAATACAGATATATGTAATGGTAGTGACCATTAATACATAGAGGAGCTTTTAGTATGTTTATACCACCTTGGCCCCATGCAACTTTGCAATACTGAATTAATTTACCTTTTTAAAAAAGGAGAAATTGAATGTAGTCTATTATAACCATGTACTAGTTTGTCAGGGTCCCAACAGGAAAAAGCTATCACATACAAAGACAAAAGATTTATTCACAGAGGGACTCTTCATAGGACAGGGGTGGGGTGGGGAAGAATGAAAGGGGTAGCACAGTAACCTGGGGTTAGTAGCAGAGAAGCTTTTACTACCCACAAGCCCAAAAGGGCATAGAGGAAGTGGTTACCAAAACATGGAAGGAGGGCATCACGGAGAGAAAGTCACCTTCCTCCATGAGCGTGGAGCAGTGACCTTTGGCTAACAGACAGGCAACCTCACAGGGAAGGCACCAGACAGATAGTACTCTGGGCTCACTCTCCTTCCTCTGTCCCTCCAGTCTCCTGCTGGCGTTTCTCATTGTCCAAATCCAAGGGGAGCGAGGGAACCCATTGAGTGGTCCCTGCAGTCAGCCTCCCTGGGCGTGGTGAGGACAGAGAGACATGGCAGGTGAGTCTGGAGGGGCAAAGGGAAGATAACCTTCACACAACTTAACCCAACATTTAAAATTTCTGTACCTAGGGAGTCTCCCCCAAGTGGTTACGGATTTACCAAAGTCAAAAGGAAAACATTGTGACAATTGCATCTACATTTAGTCCAAAGGCAGGAAGTCGGGTTAGTGGACAGTGGTTCAGGCAGCACCAACCTCTCTGCCCATTCCATAAGCTGCCTTTGCTTTCTCAAATCACAGACTCCTTTCTCTGGGGCCCTTAGGCCACACAGGAAAATTAAAGTGGACACGAGGAAAGGCAGTAGCAATGAGGCAGAGCATTTCATAAGCAGGACAGAAAACTGCAGAGCTACTTGCCCAGATCACCGTCGTGCCTCTTGTTTCCCGAAAAGGACCACAGGCAGAGGATGGATTATAAGTTGCAAGTGGTGCACAAAAGCACACAGGGAGAGAGGAAAGTCTGATTCACGCTTTGAAGAGTAGTGAACTTCTGAACGTTTGAGACAGGCAGAAGGAGTCTGTGTTCTTTACGAGAAGATTACTTTTGTAATCAGAAAACAAAATTAAAGTCATCTGTTTCGAGAGAAAAATAAAATGACCAGTAGTTTACCTGTTTGGCTACCTTCTTACGAATCTTTTTTTCTCTCCTCAATTCTCTGCTTCCCACTGATTCAGATGTGTCTGACACAGGTAACGTTCAGCCACCCTCCCCAGGGTTTTCTACATTGTTTCCTTAACAAAGCAACCTGCCTGACTGACCTGCCAACTCTGCTTTCTGAACACTTCTTCCAGATTGGGCAGGATTTGGTGGGCAGGGGGTTTGGAGAGAGGCTCAGAGGCAGGGATGCACCCCAACCTAGCCCGCAACGCGCCTCTTCCGGGCTAGTGCACGGACACGCCCGCGCCCCCACCCCACAGTGTATCTAGTCTAGTGAACGCTGCTTAAATTGACCCCAGGGGTAGCCTTGAAGAGGAACAGCAGCACAGCAGAGCTGGGGTCCACGCTTACTGAAATGCTCACTTCGGGAAGACCCCAGCCTCGCCCTGACCCTGCTCATAAAACAATCATCGTACGTACAGGCTTCCTGAACGTGCTTAGTAGATCCCACTGTCCCCGGTTCAATTCTTACTGACTTATAACCACACTGAGAAACGCAGATTCGAATTTTTACAAGCTAAGATTTCCCATGGTCTAGGGAGAGCAGATGTTTCAAGGTGACTTTTGAGAGTCCCCATACATCTCTGCTGTAAAGAAAACACTAAACTATCAACAGAGGGAAACTTAGCTGAAGGAGACCATAGGAGGGTTGGCCAGCCCCCCAAATGGTTTGCGAGTGCTTGTTCCCTGTGTCCATCTTGCCTGCCTTTCTGCGGGATGCTGCATGGATAGAGCACACCTGCCACGAAAGCCCAGGCAGCTGTGGGTGGCGTTTTTTAAAGCAAACATTTATTGCTGACCTATTAGGGACAAAGCATGGCTTTTATGAGGTGACATCATCCTGGCCACAAAAGCTTGGGCCAAAGGGGAGTGTTGTGGATTATCTCTGATCAAGCCTTCTCACCATGCGATTGTGTCATCTGCAGATTTGGGAATTTTCCGACGGGCCGCTATGGTGTGCTACACAGACTGCATCCAGCAGTGCAGCCGGCCTCTCTATATGGTAAGTGTGTGTTCCTGCATGCCTTGGCCTTCTCCCAGACAACAGGAGGACAGCAGGAGGGGCAGGCTCGGGGTAGTCACACAAGGCTTCCCAGACCAAGAGAGCCAGATGGCCTAGCGTGGCTGAAGTCCAGTTAGTGAGGGAAGAGGCATCTTGCTTCCCCTTCTCACTCTTAAAAGACACGCTGAGATGGTTCCTTTTTTGTACATGAAAAATTGCTAGTATAGAAAGAACATATGTATGTATATACACACACAAAACTATTAAAGTGATGATTGCTGGAGGAGGGAGGGTCAAGATAGGGTGTCCCTATAAATAATCATCCAAAGAGGTATGATTATTTCGCTTGTGAAAGTGAAGAGAGGGCACTATTAATAATGACACCTGGACTGTCCCAAGCAAACTAGGGACATATGATCACTCCAATCACTTTCATTAGGAACTTTCCACATTATACATTTGTTTGCTTTTTATACATTGTTTGACTTTTACAATGAGCACGAATGCTTTCTCAAAATTGTAGCTATTGCTTGATGGCAGAAATACACTTTTAAAAATTCTACCGTATGGTTTTCAATATATTACACATTTCTACACTGAGCGGAGGGATCAGTGTAGTTTCTACACTGAGCTGGGATCAGCCCTGCTCCCAGCTGCCTTGGCTTGCTGGCCAGTGACCTTGGGAAGGCTACATACCTCCTCTGAGCCACTGCCCCAACCTTTACCCCATGCTGTGATCAGAACTAGTGATGCCGTTTGGGCCTGGCACACAGGCATTCACTAAATTCCTGCTGATAGTTTATAATCAGAAGGATTTTTACAAAAAGGAACCTGGGAATGTTTTAAGCCCGGTAGAGCTTGGGCAGGAGCTATAGGCACTAAAAATTGAATTGAAGCTGGAGGGTTTTACTCAGGGGAGAACTTAAAAGCCCATTAGGACCTGTGAGTATTAGGAGAGAGAAGAATGCCTCAGCTGTGAACCATAAGGGGAAATTAGTGTTTCTGGTGTTTTTTACATTAATTGATGCAGGCTGTCTTTGTTTTTTTAAACAGACTATTTTTAGGGCATTTTAAGAGTTTTTAGTTTTTTTAGGTTCACCGAAAAATTGAGAAGAAAATACAGAGATTTCCCGTATGCCCCTCTGCCACACAGACACAGCTTCCCCATATCAACACCCTCACCAAAGAGGTGCATTTGTTAGTCAGTGAACCTATGTTAACACATCATAATCACTCAAAGTCTATACTTTACATTACAATTCACTCCTGGTGTTGTACATTCTATGGTTTTCTTGACGAGTTTGTGATGACATATATTCATCATTATAGTATCAAAGAAGGTAGAGTAGTTTTCCTGCCCTAAAAATCCTCTGTGCTCCATCTATTCTTTCCACCTGTCCCTCCTCCCCAACCCCTGGCAGCCACTGATCTTTTTTAGTGTCTCCTTAGTCTTACCTTTTCCAGAATGTCATATCGTTGGAATAATATAGTATGCGGCCTTTCCAGATTGGCTGAAATAATATGCACTTATGTTTCCTCCATGTTTTTTCATGGCTTGCTAGCTCATTTCTTTTTTTTTTTTTTTTTTTGCGGTACGCGGGCCTCTCACTGCTGTGGCCTCTCCCGTTGCGGAGCACAGGCTCCGGATGCACAGGCTCAGCGGCCATGGCTCACGGGCCCGGCCGCTCCGCGGCATGTGGGATCTTCCCGGACCGGGTCACGAACCCATGTCCCCTGCATCGGCAGGAGGACTCTCAACCACTGCTCCACCAGGGAAGCCCTCATTTCTTTTTAGTCCTGACTAATATTCCACTGTCTGGATGTGCTACAGTTTATTTACCCGTTCACCTGTTGAAGGACATCTTGGTTGCTTCCAAGTTTTGGCAATTATGAATAAAGCTGCTATAAAATTTTGTGGGCAGGTTTTTGTATAGGCACGTTTTCAGCTCCTTTGGGTAAATACCAAGGAGCACAACTGCTGGATCATACAGTAAAAGTATGTTTAGTTTTCTAGGAAACTGCCAACCAAACTGTCTTCCGAAATGGTTGGACCATTCTGCGTTCCCACCAGCCACGAGTGAGAGTTCCACATCCTCACGAGCAACTGGTGTTGTTAGTGTTTTGGATTTTGGCTTTTCTAGTAGATGAATTCGTTTTTTTAAAAGGAAGATATTTCCCTGCGCCACCAGGGAAGCCCCAATAACTTTAATCTTAATAAGGCCATGTGTTTAGAAACCAGGAGCCTGGGAGCTGCAGGACCTCCTTGGAGCCAGAATAATGAAACTAATTCCAGGTGCATCCCAACAGCTGCCTTAGGGCCCACCAGTTAACACAACCCAGGGAAAGAGTCCTTGGTTACAGAACAGTGGTGGCAGAATTCTTTTAACTACTGAGTAATCAGCACATACCACCAGCCTTCCCGCCAAGAGGTGGGCCCAGGCGCCCAGCTCCTTTAAAAACTGGGGGGAAAACAGCAAGACTTCTGCTTTATTCACCAGGCTTTCTTTTACAGGGACGAGGTCACGTCTGTTAGCAGTCAGAGGCTTTGCCATTTAGTCCTTGTAGAGGACTTTCCAGTCATAGGCACAGCTCTCTTAAAACTATAGAAAAATTGTTTCCACCAAGGCAATTGTTTTCCCATAATTGATGCTTCCCCTATGGTAAGTTTTTTAAAAAGCAGTATGTGCGGCCCCTCATTTGATGTTTTCTTTCCTCCTTTCCAGGACAGAATGGTATTGCTCATCGTGGGGAATCTGGTTAACTGGTCCTTGTAAGTAGTCTTAGGAAAACACGTTTTTCTCTTTATTAATTTCTCTGTAACACCGTGGTTTAGCTTTCCTTGGCTGTCATTTTTATAAAGAAGTCTTAAATTAAGGAGAGCATAGGACTGTGCTTGTTCTAGTGACTTGAAAGCTATTTTTCGTCCTGCAAAGAATGCACTAGGAAGCTCTTGTGTACCAATAGTTGCCTCCCTTAAAGCAATGAGTTCAACACACTGATGCCCTGAGCTCATTTGTTCAACAAGACAAACATCAAATTTGCTATATCTAGGTGGATAAATTAGATTGGATATATATGCATATACACACATACACACATATATACAAAGAGAGTAATTATGCCAGCAGCAGCAAAAATGCAACAGTTTTAAACTCTTTTTAGAACTTTCCATAAAGGCTACCAGGTAGGCATTTCTCTTTCTTACTAGGGTGTGTGTGTGTGTGTCTGTGTGTGTGTGTGTGTCTGTGTGTGTGTGTGTGTGTGTCTTTCTCATTTCTTTCTTTCCCTCCAGGTCTCAATCTTCTTACTCTGCCTATATCATTTTTCTTCCTTTTCTTTTCCCTCATTATCACCTTGGTCTTGTTTCCTCAAATGACCTCTAAGTAGAACAGTGCAACAGAAGTACAATTCTGCTAGCTGTATTTTATGTATCTATTTTTTGCAACTTACTCTTAACTTACAAATGTGAATGAGTGAGATGTTTTATTGATCCCTCAAAAAATAAGTATGTTGAGCTGCTTTTATTAGTGGTTCTTAGCTGATGTGCTCCTCTGGGTCAGCGACCTTTGATAGAAAGGTGACACCCTACTCCTCCTCCCTTTAAGATACCAGATGCAGGGCTTCCCTGGTGGCGCAGTGGTTGAGAGTCCGCCTGCTGATGCAGGAGACACGGGTTCGTGCCCTGGTCTGGGAAGATCCCACATGCCGCGGAGCGGCTGGGCCCGTGAACCACGGCCGCTGAGCCTGTGCGTCTGGAGCCTGTGCTCCGCAACGGGAGAGGCCACAGCAGTGAGAGGCCTGCGTATCGGGAAAAAAAAAAAAAAAAAAAAGATACCAGATGCAAAGAAATAAGCACACCATCAGGGAAAGCCAGAATCAAGTCATGAGAATTTGAATCTTATTTCGGGGCCACATGCTTCTGGAAGAAACTTCCCACAATATTGTTGCCCCAGGGTTTACCTTGGGGAAGGTCCATACCTGTGAAGGACTGTCCTTTACTCAAGGACACGTCAGGATGGGTGATTCTTGGCCGTGGTCACCTGCGATGCTCTCTCGGCCACCCTTTTAGGGAAGACCCCACAGTCCTGGCGACTCTGTAAGACAGGATGGAGGCTGTTGATAGGAGATACGATACTGAACAACTGATGATAGTGTCTGCAGGGTCAGCATCACCTAGCTTGTCCCTGCCTCTAGTAGAACTAAAATCAGACCCAAGTCTGCAATCAGATTTAACAATCAATGGAAAGATGTCCCATGCTCTTGGATTGGAAGAATTAATGTTGTTAAAATGGCCATACTACCCAAATCAACCTACAGATTTAACGTGATCCCTATCAAATTACCCATGACATTTTTCACAGAACTAGAATAATCCTAAAATTCATATGGAACCATAAAATACCCAGAACTACCAAAGCAATCCTGAGGAAAAAGAACAAAGCAGGAGGCATAACCCTCCCAGACTTCAGACAATACTACAAAGTTACAGCAATCAAAACAGTGGGGTACTGGCACAAAAACAGACAAGACATATGAATCAATGGAACAGAATAGAGAGCCCAGAAATAAACCCACACACCTACGGTCAATCAATCTTTGACAAAGGAGGCAAAAATATACAATGGGTAAAAGACAGTCTCTCAGTAAGTGGTGTTGGGAAAGCTGGATAGCCACATGTAAATCAATGAAGTTAGAACACATCCTCACACCATACACAAACATAAACTCAAAATGGCTTAAAGACTTAAACATAAGATATGACACCATAAAACTCCTAGAAAAGATTATAGGCAAAACATTCTCTGGTATAAATCATACCAAAGTTTCTTAGGTCAGTCTCCCAAGTCAATAGAAATAAAAACAAAAATAAACAAATGGGACCTAATCAAACTTACAAGCTTTTGCACAGCAAGAGAAACCATAAACAAAAAGACAACCTATGGAATGGGAGAAAATATTTGCAAACAATGCGACCCAAAAGGGCTTAATTTCCAAAGTATATAAACAGCTCATACAACTCAATAACAAAAAGACAACCCAATCAAAAAATGGGCAGAAGACCTAAATAGACTTTTCTCCAAAGAAGACATACTGATGGCCAATAGGCACATGAAAAGGTGCTCAGCATCACTAGTTATTAGAGAAATGCAAATCAAAACTACCTCACAATGGTCAGAATGGCCATAATTAAAACGTCTACAAATAAGTAATGCTAGAGAGGGTATGGAGAAAAGTGAACCCTCCTACACTGTTGGTGGGAATGTAAGTTGGTTCAGCCACTATGGAAAACTGTATGGAGGTTCCTCAGAAAACTAAAAATAGAATTACCGTATGATCCAGCAATCCCACTCCTGGGCATATATCCAGAGAAAACTATAATTCAAAAAGATACATGCACCCCAATGTTCATAGAAGCACTACTCACAATAGCCAAGACATGGAAACAATCTAAATGTTTATTGACAGATGAATAAATAAAGAAGTTGTGGTACATATATACAATGGAATACTACTCAGCCATAAAAACTGAAATAATGCCATTTGCAGCAATATGGATACAACTAGAGATTATCATACTAAGTAAGTAAGTCAGAAAGAGGAAGACAAATATCATATGATATCACTTACATGTGGAATCTAAAATATGGCACAAATGGACCTATTCACGAAACAGAAACAGATTCACAGACATAGAGAACTGGCTTGTAGTTGCCAAGTGTAGGGGGGCGGGGGAGGGATGGACTGGGAGTTTGGGGTTAGTAGATGCAAACTATTACATACAGAATGGATAAACAACAAGGTCTTACTGTATAGCACAGGGAACTATACTCAATACCCTGGGACAAATCATAATGGACAAGAATATTAAAAAGAATGTATAGATGTGTATAACTGAGTCACTTTGCTGTACAGAAGAAATTAACATAACATTGTAAATTAACTATACTTCAATAAAAAATAAATTTTTTAAAAAATGAACAAAAACACTCCATTAATAACAGCTTTCCACTTAAATACTTAGGAATAAACTTTGAGAGATGTGTGGAATCTTTCTGCAGAAAATTTAATTACCTTATCAGGAGAGATAGAAGAAAACTTAGCTAAATGAAGAAAGATGGCATGCCCTGGGTGAGAAGATTAACTATTGTAAAGATAACAATTCTCAAGTTAATGTGTAAATTTAGAATTAGAAATGGAATGAAGTTAATAGGATTTTATTCTGAAATTATTTACCTAGTTAGACAAAATTGTCAAAGGTCTCTGCAAAAGGTTAACCGGAGAAAGGAGGGGCAGAGGTGTATAGTGACAGCCCAGCATTATTCAATAGAACTTTCTGGAATGATGTGTTTATTAGCCACGTGTGGTTATTGAGCACTTGAAATGTGGTGTGACTGAGGAAATGAATTTTCAATTTTTTTAAAATTTTTATTAATTTTTATTTAAATAGCCACATGTGGTTACCACATTGGATAGTGCAAGCTAGCCTAACCTTTGTTAGATAATCTAACATATTATAAAACAACAATAACACGATGAGCCACTGCTCCAAAACTAGAAATTATAAATTAGTGAATCAGGATGAAGTGGCCAGAAATCCAACTATATATATATATGTGCATGGTGTGTCTGTATTAAACACAAGCTTTCAAAACCAGGAGATAAGAAAGGGCTGTATAATAAAGACTTTTGTTAGAACGGAATAGAAATTTGGAGCAAAATTAAGGCCAAACCCCAACCAAAATAAACTTCAGTATTAATTTAGACAGCTAGCAAAAATTTGGTAATGTGTGTCAAGCCAAGTATTGAGATAATTCTATGTCTAGTAATCTATTCTAAACATCTTAAATGCAAAAAGAAAAAAAAAGCACAATATGTCTGAAGGTATTTATTGTTGCAGTTTTTAATAATAGTGCACAACTGAAGGACAAAGAGAAAACTCTTCATTTCAACTAGAGAGGTAGGATGATTGCTTATGGTACATCCACTGATAGGAACCTCACAATCGTTAAAAATGAATGTTCTGAGGAAGACGTAATGAATTGAAAGTTACTTACAACATTTTTAAATTCCCCTCCCACCAGAAATGGGGGTGTGGAAGTGAAAAAGCCAATAATGTTACAAATCCACCTTCATAGCTACAAAATAATTCCTCTGTGTGCTCAGTGCCCTCTTTGGACTGATCTATCGACCCAGGGACTTTGCCTCCTACATGCTGGGCATCTTCATCTGTAACCTGCTGCTCTACCTGGCCTTTTACGTCATCATGAAGGTAAGAGTGGCGGCTGGGAGCAGGGCACCGCGGGCCCTCCTCGGGTGACGCGTGCGGCTTGGCAGCAGCGCTTCTCACCCACAGCTTCGCAGCTCCGAGAAGATCCTCCTGATCCCGCTCTTCTGCATCGTTGCCACCGCTGCAGTGTGGGCCGCTGCCTTGTATTTTTTCTTCCAGAATCTCAGCAGCTGGGAGGTAAGAGGGCAGTTTTCTTTTCCAGGATGACATTCTCTCTCCATCTTGCCTTTATGACCTTCCTACCTCCCTCTCTTCATGTGTTTGTTGCTGTTTATCTTTTTTATGTTCTCTGACATGAATGCTTTCTCTAAAGGGGATGGTTTTCAATATCCACACGTGACTGCTCAATAAATGGCATGTCATCATTATCAGGGTGGCACCTCTTAAAAACGAAGCTCTACCAACACTGCAAATGTGATCTTCATTATGTGTCATATTATGATTATGATCCTGTTCCCAGTGGATGTTTAATATGTACAGGAACCTTGCTTAGTGTATCTTCTCCACCTTATCATAGTCACCATCCATAAACAAATACACAGGTGCCGGTGTTTATAAATCCATTTCACAGATAGGAAAGCTGAGGCCTAGGAAACGGGTGATGTATCTGAGGCACAGAACAGGGAAGAAGTCTTAGCTCTCCATCACCATAATCACCACAGGCAACTTTAGAACATTTTTATCACCCCAGGAAAAAACCTGCATCCGTTAGCAGTCAATCACCATTTCTCCCTAACCCCTTAGCCTTAGGCAACCACTATCTATCTTTTGTCTCTACAGATCTACCTATTCTGGACATTTCATATCAATGGAATCACATTACATGTGGTCTTTGGCTTCTCTTCATAATGGTTCCTAGGTCCACCCATGTGTAGATGTTATCAGTACTTCATGTTTTTATTGCTGAATATTCCATTGTATGGATATACCTCATTTTATCTACCCGTTCAGCAGTCTATCGACATTTAAGTTGTTTCCGCTTCTTGGCTTTTATGAATGCTGCTGCTGTGAACAACTGTGGTCAAGTTTTGTGTGGACGTATGTTTTCTTGGAAGCTAACTTTTTTTTTTTTTTTTTGCGGTACGCGGGCCTCTCACTGTTGTGGCCTCTCCCGCTGCGGAGCACAGGCTCCGGACGCGCAGGCTCAGCGGCCATGGCTCACGGGCCCAGCCGCTCCGCAGCATGTGGGATCTTCCCGGACCGGGACACGAACCCGTGTCCCCTGCATCAGCAGGCGGACTCTCAACCACTGCGCCACCAGGGAAGTCCGGAAGCTAACTTTTTGACCCAGGCATCTAGTAGTGACTTTTTAGGTTTCTGGATACTCAGCGCTCTAAGAAGTTGAACTGTGGGAATGCCCCCACTACATCCTGCCTCACCTTCTTCCAGGGAACGCCAGCCGAATCCCGAGAGAAGAATCGAGAGTGTATCCTGCTGGATTTCTTTGATGACCATGACATCTGGCACTTCCTCTCTGCTACTGCCCTGTTTTTCTCATTCTTGGTGAGTTTATAAAAACTTTTTTCATTTCTTCTCGCTTTACATCCTGTACCCCTTTTTTTCTCTTCCCCTCTTTCTTACATCCCCTTTTGTATTTTTAATTTCCCTTTCCAAGTCTTCATTATAATTCAATGTACAGAATTTCTTTTTTACACTGTATCCTTAGGTTAGATCGTTATTTTCATTCTCCTTTTACTCTTCAATACTTTAAGACACAGAGTGATAAAATAATTTTCCTTGAGTTGTGCAATGTTTGGACTGAATTGTTGATTAGAACTCACATGCCCAAATCCCCCGGGAACCACTTTTGGCATTGGCTACAATCTCAGCCACACTAGGTTATACCTTCTTGTGCTATACTCACATTCCTCCCCCTCTTCCAGTCTCACTGCATGTCTTACAAACATTTCACAAGTTCTTGGAGTGGCTCAGGATAGCAGGCAGGCCTCTTTTTGCCTTCTAACCAGTCTCTTCCAAATCTCTCCTGTAGTCCCTCCATTTTTTGCCCAAACACCTTTCCAGAAGCCATGCATATTATAACAACCCAGGAGGAGAACTCCCAGCCTACTTCCATCTTAATTTTGACTTTTCCAAAATAAAAACCCATGGTGCCTGTACACAAGGTCATTTAACAAATAACACTGGGTTGGCCAAAAAGTGCCTTCAGTTTTTAAGTAAAAATAAAGGACATTTTTCATTTTCACCAAGAACTTTACTGAACAACGTATTCACCCTTTTGTTCCACTACCTTCTGACACTTTTCAGGCAACTTCATAATTCCATCTTCCCAAAACTTTTTATCTTTTTGAGCAAAGAACTGTTCCAGGTGCCTTTTAGAGTCTTCCAGAGAATTGAATTTTTTTCCATTAAGAGAATTTTGTAAAGACCAAAATAAATGGAAATCCGAAGGTGCATCTGCTGAATACGGCAGATGAATCAGAACTTCCCAGCCAAGCTGTAACAGTTTTTGCCAGGTCATCAAAGAAACATGTAGTCTTGTGTTATCCTGATAGAAGATGATGCGTTTTCTGTTGACTAATTCTGGATGCTTTTCGTCGAGTGCCGCTTTCAGTTGGTCTGATTGGGAGCAGAACTTGTTGGAATTAATCATTTGGTTTTCTGGAATTAGCTCTTAATAGACGACTCCCTTCCAATCCCACCATATACACAGCATCAACTTCTTTGGATGAAGACCGACCTTTGGTGTGGTCGGTGGTGGTTCATTTCGCTTGCCCCACAGTCACTTCCATTCCACTTTATTGTACAGTAGCAACTTTTCGTTGCCTGTCACAATTTGTTTTAAAAACGGAACTTTTTATGTTTGTTTTTTATTTTGGGCCGTGTTGGGTCTTCGTTGCTGTGCACGGGCTTTCTCTAGTTGTGGCGAGCGGGGGCTACTCTTTGTTGCAGTGCACGAGCTTCTCATTGCAGTGGCTCCTCTTGTTGCGGAGCATGGGCTCTAGGTGCACGGGCTTCAGTAGTTGTGGCGCGCAGGCTCAGTAGTTGTGGCGCACAGGCTTAGTTGCTCTGAGGCATGTGGGATCTTCCCAGTCCAGGGATCAAACCCGTGCCCCTGCATTAGCAGGCAGATTCTTAACCACTGCACCACCAGGGAAGCCCAAAACCAGAACGTTTTCATTACGTTTAAGTAGAGAATCACATGCAGAAATACAGTCAAGAAGGTTTTTTTCGCTTAACTCAATGTGAAACCCAAACATCAAAGTGATTCACATAACCAAGCTGGTGCAAATGATTTTCAACGCTTGATTTAGATATTTTGAGTATGTCGGCTATCTCCCGTGTGGTATAACATTGATCGTTCTCGATTAATGTCTCGATTTGATCGCTATCAACTTCAATTGGTCTACCTGACTGTGGAGCATCGTCCAGCGAGAAATCTCCAGCACAAAACTTCACAAACCACTTTTGACATGTTCGATCAGTCACAGCACCTTCTCCATACACTGCACAAATCTTTTTTTTGCGTTTCAGTTGTTTTTACCTTTCTTGAAATAATAAAGCATAATATGCCGAAAATGTTGTTTTTCTTCCATCTTCAATATTAAAATGGCTACACAAAAACTCGCCAATTTTGATAGGTCTCTTTTTAAATGCACGCTGATAGGACAGCTGTCACACACAATCTAACAAAATTGTTCCAAATGAAGTTTGGACAACTAAGTGCTACTAGGGCCATCTTACGGAAAAAACCGAACGAACCTTTTGGCCAGCCCAATATTAGGCCTCCTGGTTTCACGCTGCCCACTTACTTTAGTCTTGTCCATGTAACCTCAAGAGTGGAGCAGGGCTACCCCCTTGTGGCCAGTTTGGGAAGTTTAACCAGTCTGTATAAACATCATTCCTGAAGGCTTTTATCTTTGATAGTCACCTTCTCTAGAGAGACAGAGACAACAAAAGTGGAGCTAAGGGTTCCATGTGGAGAGAGTGATGGTAGAGGGAACTAAAAATGGAGGATTAGGGTACAATTCTTATATGGCAATATTCTATGCAACAAGGTTTCATTCCGTTTAGGTCCCGACCCAAATGTCCCCTCCTAAGTGGTAATGATGTCCCTGGCCACCCAATGAAAAACAAAATTTTATACATATGCAACTGAATCACTTTGCTGTATACCTGAAACTATCACAACATTGTTAATCAACTATACTCCAATATAAAATAAAAATACAAAATTTAGAAAAATAAAATGTTAACCAAAAATTTTTTTACCTCGCCCCATCCCATACTTTCTATATCCCCACCACAGTTTAATTATTATCCTTAGTACATATTACTAGCTAACATACTTGACTTTGCTCATGCGTTTGCTTCATGTCTGAAGCCCTCTCTCAAATGTAAGCCCCACCAGGGAAGGGATTTTTGTCTCTTTTGTTCTGAGCCATATCTCTAGCACGTGGAATAGCACTTAATAGACCCTTGATAAATATTTGAATTAATAAATGAACTATGTAATTATGACAAGTGCCTGTTAAGAGCACGGCGTTGCAGAAAGCTGCAGAAGACATGAAAACAAGTAAGGGCACTTGTGAGTCTTTGGGAGAAAATAGGGATTTATTGCAACTGTGGGTTCCTCTCATTTCTCTGCCTCTCTCATTTCAGGTTTTGTTAACCCTGGATGATGACCTGGATGTGGTTCGGAGAGACCAGATCCCTGTCTTTTAAGCCTCCAGCATGGAGAGCAGGGAGAGAGAGCAACCAATCTTGGTGCTGTTTCATGAAAAATACAGGGACTGCAGCAAAGTAACCACTGCCAAATGCTCCACTCACCCTCTGTTGGGTTGGCTCTGTACACATTCCCGCAGGGAGGAGAGGAGATACAGGGGGACCCAAACCTGCAAGAAGGGAAGCAGCAACTGTGGACAGAGTCAAGCCCTTCAGAGTCGAAAAACACCCACCATCCCCTTCTGTCACTACTCTGAGTTAGACATGGACAAAAGCTGCATCGAAGTTGACCTTGGGACCACTCCCGCCCTCACCTGATATTCGCCAGCCATGGGGAGACCATGCTGCTCTCCACCCTCCAGCTGCCTCCCCGCCCAGAAATTCCAGGGTGGCTCCCATGCACCTCTGTAACATCTGCTGCTCTAGACATCCCAAAACACCAGCCCACTTCTCCGAAGTCCTGGAATGATGTGATTCCTTAGAGTCTGGTAGAGGGGTGGCCCCAAGGCCCTACCCAACTGGGATAGATGTTTTGTAGCACCAGCTCGTCACCTCCACCAAAGGAATGCTGTACGCTTCCCCCAGGTTCCTGACCGCATTAGGAGGACTCTTACATCAGGCTGGGTCACCCGCTCCTGGCAGGTAACTGTCCCTGAGACCAAGGTGTGGGTGCTTCCCTGTTCCTTGGTGTCTTCATCTCACCGCTGTGTGTTGACCCCCTGACTCAGGCTCTACCTTCTTGGGAAGGCCACTTCTCCACAGACCAGCTCCAAGGCGGAAGGGGAAATGGGAAAACTCTTCCAGCAGCAGGAGGCACCAGAGGAATGACCGACAGCACTAGGAGACCGGTGACATCAGCATCAAGCACTCAGGCCTCACGTTAAGGACTTGGGCTCCTGGAGTACATTCAGCGAAGGCAATTAGGCCTCCAAGTCAAATAGCTCCATTCTGTGCCTGCATCACCCTTGGGGAAGAAATAAGTGTTCTAAGCAGGGGCACTGCTCTCGGGCTCCTGTACAACCGGCCAAGCCCCTCCTCTGCTGCTTTATGCAGATCAGGGGCTTTAGACTTTCTCCTGAGTTTCTCTGGAGGCCCGTCTCAGGGTGAACACATCTCACTCCTCCTCTCCAGTTGCAAAGAGCTCAGCCGGTTTGGGGGCGGGGCGGTTGTCTCTCTGACACACCTGATTCACATTCACTCCCCAGGATGGTGTTGAAGCACTCAGTGTCCCACTTCACTCTCTAACTGTCCAGCAGCTCTGCCCCCAGGAAGTCCCATTTTGACCAAACTCCTGTATTACCTGTGATATGACGTCATCAGAAAATTTACATGCAAATATGCATACACAGATATATTTGCCTGTGAAATTGAAGTCACCTTCTCACCTCTGCTTTCTTGATCCTTCATTAGAAGGATCCTTCATTCTTTTTAAAATATATATATATAATTTTCTCTAAAATAATGTTCAAAAACACATTTTGGAAGTTTGAATGGCAAACTTTCCCTGATTTTAAGAACACAAAGATGCTTTCAATGAAACATTATGATTTTTTTTCTAAAATGCCCCCAGATTCATAATTGGTGTTGTTATTCTTTATTCCTTAAAAATCGTTGGCTTCCATAGGCCATATGAAGGCCACCTATTAAATGGTTGTATCAATCTAACATTTAAAATATATTTCGAACCTGTTTAACTTGGCTGATTTGACCTAATTCTTTTATTTTTAATGCACTAAAAGTTTTCAAATCCAAAAAAAAGCGGGGGTGTGGGGTGGTGCAGAATGCGAACGACAAAGTCTGTTCAAGCAGCCCTGTGGCCTGAAGTGAATAAATTGCAGGACACATTACCTGTTCGGTAGCTTGTCTGGGAAATATGTCCATGGAAATGGGGAAGGGGCCCCAGAGAAATGGACGGACTCTGCTGCTGTATTCTTGACCGTTTTCTGACAAAGTCTGTCTTGTGCTACAAACTTACACGTTGTGGTCAGTTTTGTTCTCTGCAGCAGGACGAAAAACCCAGACCAAGCCTGCTCTTATAAATATCAATTCTAAATGTACCTGTTGCTAGCTTTTTCTATAGTGCTGATTTGTGCATGGTTGGAGGCCACAAGAAAGTCACTCAGCTGCGTCTGTAGGGTTGATAGGAACTCGGGGTGGAGGAGGCAGCCACAGTTACTCACAGTGGTCCCTCATCCACATGTAGCACAGGGCTGTGTGACTTTTGTCTGTCCTCATGGACTTCTCTCTTCACAAGAGAAGGGAAGGCAACTCTGAAAGCCGAGTCCAACAGGAGGGTAACGGGAGCCAGCCAGCCACTAAGAGGCTCTTGGCAGAGAGGCCCAGGGTAATAAGAGCAGTTCCCTTGGAGGACAGAGGTGTGGCAGCCAGAGGAGCAAAACTGCACATAAAAAAGGCCTCTTCACACCTCTGACAAATGCTGGGGAGGCAGCCCCACCTGTTAACACTGGATGGCTGAGGGATTAGCCCGGTTTTATTTTAGCAGCAGGAGAAGCCAGTGGAAAACCAGAGTCTATCTGGGGAAGGGACTTTCCATGGTTGAAGGAGATCACCGAGTCAGCTCCTGGGGTAAAGAGAGTGGCAGCTTCTTTTGTAGCTCCAAGCTGCCACCAGAATGTCCCGTGGGGTCGCAAAATGCATGTGTCGGGGAAACAAATAATACCCAATGTTTCTCCTCCTGGGAGACAGTCTCTCTGTCTAAAACTTGGGAAAAAGGGAAAAACAAAGAGAAACATTCTTCATAGAAGGAACAGTTGAATCCTAGAAAAACTCTTGAGTCAGACTTTAGTCCACATATGTTCACCTGCTTGCTGTGTGACCTTGTGCAATCTGCTGGAACTCTCTGATCTTTATTGCCACATCTACATGACGCGACATGAAGGTGACAGAGGTGGAGCTGTGTAGAGCACCTGGAGCGGTGCCCGCAGAGAGAAGGTCCTCACCTGCACCTCTCGAATCCTGCAGGGTGGCAGGGCCAGAGCAGGTCTCCCTGCTGGGCTGGCACCTCTCACCCAAGGGGGCCCCTCATTGAAACCAGCTATGCTGTTTCCTGTCCTCAGTTCCAGGAGGCCCTGAAGGGGCTGGGAGGTCTCTTCACCTTCAGAGAAACTGCCCAGAATTATCACACCTCCCAGCCCCCCTCCTTGCCCTTTAATTGCTGCATTTCATCGTCTTTGGCCCTTAATACTCCAACGCAGATGAAAAATTGCTGCCAAAGCTGGGGCCAAGTGGAAAGTCTGGCTGTGTATAAAGTCACACCTCGTTACTGCCAGTTCTACTCTGGCAATCTCAAAGAAAACCTAGACTTTCTCCTCTCTCCAGCATCTATAGCTACTACAGTCCAGGGGATGCCAGGTGCAAACGTTTCCCCCGACCCTTATCACCAAATGTTCCGTAGGGAAAGCCTGGATGTTCAGCCTGGATGAAGAGGAACTTCAGCCTGCGGGTGACAAAACAGGTCCCAGAGGAAGCCTGGGAGGGTCGCTCTGGTTTTGAAATGATTCTAATGTCCCCTGGTGAAACTGAGGAAAAGCATTATGAGTAAAGATACAACTAGCTTCTGCCTGAAGCAACGTAAAACCCAAAATTATGTTTACCATAATTTTGCCCAGCTTACAGTCATTTTTTTGCTTTGTTTTTAAATGCTGGTGTTAGGGAACCGGGTTCATTTTACCTGAAGCACCGCAACCAAAACGCGGAGACACTGACGTCTGCAGCAAAGACAGGGCTTATCCGCAAGGCAGCCAAGGGAGAAAACGTGAGAACAAATCTCAAACCCCCCACCCCGAAGGGAGGAGGCGGGGGTATTTATGGGACGAGGAATGAAGAAGCAGGCTGCTCTGAGGCACGGGAGCGTGCGAAGCCGGGGAGGCGGGGAAAGGTGATTGGAAAACGTGCCGTCATCACCATGCTGCGCAGGCGTAGCTAGGCTACGGGCCTCTGCACGTTCCAAAGGTCACGGGTGGACACTCGCGCATGCCCAGTTGGAAGGTCAGTGGTCCCGCCTAGTTTCAACAAGCTCAGCTGAGCTAGATACAACCTGCTCCAAATTCCTGGAAAGCAACTCAGGCAGTTTCTTGTTTGGGCCTAGTGCTTCTTGGAGAACAGGCAAGCCTTAAAATGACATTGATTAGTGAAGGCAGGGGAAATGGATTTGACTAATTACCCACGGTTTTGGTGGGGACAAGATATAGTTCTGTGGCTAAGTTCAAATGTCTCCTCAATATTAAGGCACCATCGTCAATAAGGTTAATGACCTGCTGAATCTTAGGCCTTAACACACATGAATTCAAATAAGCTTGGCGAGGGTCATGGATCAGCCTTTTTCAATGAGTTTCTAAAAAGCCATAGTAATAGAGTTTTCATTTGGACGGGATTCCTCTGCAAAAAGAAACCGATTTTTAGACTTTTTTGACCCCTGTGAACTCCAAGGGGGGCGGGGTTTGCAGTTCATCATATGGTTTTCCTGAAGTAGGGTCTTACTATTCTTATTAAAGTACAAGGAGGGCTAAGTGGTGACCAGTGTTGACAAAGAATTACCCTTTGCTCCTCCAGTCTTAGGGAAATGGAGCTCTGCGTTCTTTCTGAATATCTCTATATTAGAAGTTTTCATGATTTTTCCTGAACTAAATTTTTTAAAACTCCATGGTTTTATCCTACCTTTTTTTCATTCCCTGTCATCTAAGCCTTATCCTTTTCATTGGAGATGAAAAATAGCTAACCATCATAGAATAGCCTTGAAGTTATATCACATTTCAGTCATGCTAATGTCTGGGTGTCTCATTTCTCATCTCAGAACATGCAATCCCACTATGGTTGGCTCCTGGGCCCCTAATTTCCTCTAACCCTGTAACTCTTGATATTTTTTTTTAAACTCTTGACATTCTTTGTGAATTAGGACTCTAAGTCCTTTAAACAGAAGACTATCCATAATAATTCAAAAGCTCTCTCTTTTAAGGTGCTCTAATGTTGCCAATACAAAAATGTTGATTTGCGTTTTATGATTTATTTTTAGAAGTACACTGTTTTTTTTAATTAATTAATTAATTATTTGGTTGCACCAGGTCTTAGCTGCGGCAGGCGGGCTCCTTAGTTGCAGCACATGGGCTCCTTAGTTGTGGTATATGGGCTTCTTAGTCGTGGCATGAGAACTCTTAGTTGCAGCATTCATGTGAGATCTAGTTCCCTGACCAGGGATCGAACCCGGGCCCCCTGCATTGGGAGCACGGAGTCTTATCCATTGTGCCACCAGGGGAGTCCTGCGTTTTATGATTTTTATTACATTGCTTATCTGAGAGTTTCACAAGGCTCAGTACCCGGTTCTAGGCGGGTCCCTTTGAGGAAGAGGACAAATTCAGGCCTAAGGTTTAGGCTTCTCTCTCAGTGTGGGATACCTTGTAAAGTAACCTGCTTTTTAGGAGGTCCATTTCCCCTTTATCCTCTCCTTCCTCACCATTTCTCTGTTCATTTACATAGAGTCAGAAATACTGCTTCAGTCAATAGTCAGTCAAGAAATATCTGGGCCAAGAACTGTGAGGAACTGGGCAAAGCAATGGGCAAAACACCCAGTCTCTTCAATCACGGGGTCTACGGTCCAAAAGGGGAGAGATGCATGAAACAAGTAACTTGTTCATTATAAGTGGGCAAAGAGCTCCAAGAAGAGAATGGCCTTAGAAGAATCTTACTAGGCACAGACGCAAAGAAAGTCCAAGTAATTATCAGCAATTTTTATCCCTAGATGTGAAGCCCCTAAATTGCTGCCCCTAGAACCGATTATTAAAACAGCAAACATTTGTCCTCGGACATTCTGCCAAGGGTTTTATATACATTCCATGCTGGATCCTGAAACACTCACCACCACCAACCCCATGAAGTCGGTATTATTACTATCATCCCCATTTGCCAGACAGAGAAACTGAAACTTAGAGAAGTCGATGTCCACTAGATGAAGTGAAAGGTGCAGAAGCCTTGATTAAGAGTCAGGAATGGGTGGTTCAGGTAACAAGAACAGAGACAGGGAAGGTGGATGGTGTTGCAGCCCTTATTTGTTCATGTATCTATATATGCAAAACACACAGCCTAGAATTCTATAACCCTTGAACATATTAACAAAAAGAAAAGGTTTTTCCAAAATTCAGAAGATGTGTCTGTTATATGAACCTGAGTGACAGTGAAACCTATCGTGCTTTAGGAAAGTCAACCAATAAAACTGCAGCTGTGGATCATTTTGGCTCTTTAAACTGGAACAGCAGGATTCAGAGGACTCTTGCTTCAGTTTCTAAGCTTGTAAAGTTAAGGACCAAAGTCCTTTTTATACATTCAATGACTGCATTTGGCAAAGGGCTGTAGACCCAAAGATTCATTTTAAATTGAAATATATGTAGCATAAGGTGTCAGGTTTCTACTGGGAACCTGTTGGTTCAGAAACAAAAATAACAGTGGAGAGAAAGCACAGGAATAAGAAATGGGGTTTTTTTTGTTTTGTTTTGTTTTTTATCTGCATTGGCTCTTAGCTTCGGCGTGCGGGATCTTTTGTTGAGGCGTGCGGGAACTTTTGTTGAGGTGTGTGGGATCTTTCATTGTGGTGGGCGGGCTTCTTTCTAGTTGTGGCGTGGGCTCCAGAGCTCGTGGGCTCCAGAGCTTGTGGGCTCTGTAGTTTGCAGCATGCAGGCTCTCT